CGATTTTCACTCGCAGCCCATCTGTCTATCTCTACTTAAACAAACACTTGTACCTGTTAATTTGATCATAAGCATACAGTTTTTAGTCAATTTTGTACCAGAATGATTTGTACCACTCAGTACTCTTTTATATTTGTTTTAAGCATTTGAGTTCCGGCTTACACGCCTCTTGGCTGCTCTCTACCCTGTGTACCGGTAAGTTGTCTGATATGGAGGGGGTAGGGTTATTCGTATATTTCGATACACGCTCATGAAATCTTATTAGTGTCAGCCATTGACGAGTGTAGTAAATCCAGCCAATAAGTATTTTTGTTTTCAAATCAAGGAGTCGTATGCCAGCTAGCAACGGAAACCTTTTTTTTCTACACCGGTTGTTTTGTATGGATACCTACGGGTGCCACCGAAACACAGGTCCCCTTGCCCCCGATCAAAAGGCAATTAGCTAGCGTTTTCAGGATTTTTCCTAGTTCAAATTCCTGTCCGCCGGATTTCCTGAAATCCCAAACTTTATTAAAACTATTTTAGGGGTGCGGAATCTGAGTACCCCTACTTTTACGGGTTGACAGAGGGGATGTCTTATTTGTAAAAATTTATTGAAAAACATCATGACCAAAACAGGAAATTTCAATTAGAGATTTTTTTTCACTCAACTCTGGACCTCTAATTGCTCCTACCCCCTAAATCCTGAGCCTCCTGCGTAGTAGTTTATTGCAGCCCCCGGCCCCCTCCACCCCCCACCCCCCCTTTCATACCTGCAACCCGCGCAAATCGCTCAGCATGGCCACAGCCGCTGGATCACAAGGTAGCCGTCAGAAATGCTTGTTCGGTTCACGATGCAAGGTTAGGGACGACGCAGCTCAACTGTATCAATGTACTGTCTGCTCAAACATGTTTCATCATCTTTGTGCTAGTGAATGGAGTGAAGAGTGGAGTGATTGTGGTTGCTCGACTCGCAACCCAAAAGGAACAAAGGGACCAAAAACTTCAGCGCAGCAGCAAACCCCAAAAGTTGTTCCTTCCATCTCTGAAGAACAAATCGCGGAATCAATTGTGGAATACGTTTCAGGGACTAACAGAACTAGACGGGTATGCAACAAGGAGAACGATCACAGAATACGTTTCAGGGACTAACAGAACTAGACGGGTATGCAACAAGGAGAACGATCACAGAAGAAGACGACGACGAGGACGATAACGAGGAAGTGGAGGAAATGGAAGGCGAGGACGAACAAGAAACAAGAGAAAAAATCGAGTCTGTCAAAGACAGGATGCTCTCGGACAATTCGAAGGCATGTTACTTCAGTTCTGTAAGTCAGCTGATTGCATGGTTGTATGAAACCAAACCATTTTGTTTGAATCACGAATTCAAGAGTTGTTTAGACAACGAACCCAGAAATCGTGGTCCAATTACCAAGAAGATCAAAGAATTGTTGAAGAGAAGAGAATTGTTACCATTCAACACGAGAAGGTTCTCATACAAGCAATGGACCAGCTATGTGGTAAATGTCATGATGAAAAAAAAGTTGAAATTCTCGTCATACGTAGCTTTGAGATCAGGTGTTAGGCATTTCTATAGAAGGCACCACAAGACCAAAACGTACAGGAGAAAGTTCGACGTTCAGATAGCCGATTTCTATAAAGGTCTTCAGAACACCATCGCAGATGAGAGAGCCGTGAGTGGAACGAAATTGTCATCTGGCAAGGATCCATTACCCTTTAGTTTGTATGTCATAATGGGTGGAGAGTTGCTGAAATGTAAGAAGATGGATTTAATAGTTGGTCGTACCTTCCTGATACTAAGTTGGAATCTGATCTGCAGATCTGTCAATACGGCTGAGATTCTGTTTCAACACATGGGATGGAAAGACGATCACATGTGGATATGTTTTCCTCATAGCAAGACAGATCAAGTTGGAGAACGGAACGAGCCGAAATCAATATATGCCAATCCGATCTGTCCTGCAATTTGCCCCATTCTTGCTATGGGTGTGTACCTTATGAGTCATTCTCCAGACACCAGGAAGTTGTTTCCAGGTGTACTTGGCATGAAATGTGGTTGATAATGATGCATTTTTTGGGCATGATAGGTGGCAGTCAATACCATCGTTTTGTCAATTGTCTGCAGAAAGTCATGACACTGCCCGAACGGGGTGAGTGTGATGAATCTTCTAACGCACAGGATGCTCCGTATGATTACCGAGCCATTCGGAAAGCTGTCTGTCAGGAGCTGCAAAGACTTGGGATGAACAAGGAGGATTTAGGCACCCACTCCATTCGAAAGGTGAGATATTGATTGATGATGTGAAGATTGTTTGAACCCTACGTGTAGGGTGCAGCGACGTATTGTACAAGTGGTTCTACTCACTGTCCATCAGTTACCGCGGTTTCTGACCGAGCCAGTTGGAACAACGGAACAATTCCCAAGACTTACTTCAAGTACGAGGCTGCATCAGATCTGTTTGTTGGTCGTACGGCCTGTGGATTACCCATTCATTCGGCGATGTTTGCGTCATTACCTCCACAGTTCAAGAAGGGAAATGATGAATTAGTACAGAGTACGATTCAGTTATGTTTTCCTACATTGCCAGGGAATATGAATGGGATTCTGATACATTGCTTAGCAAGCATTGTGTATCATTTCGATTACTTGAGAAAGGAGTTGGACCCCAGTCATCCATTATGGAGCTGCGCATTGTTTCGGGATACTGGAATTTATGAACAGCTGAAAGAGCAAGTTTTAGTTCTGCTTCCTACAGACGTACCCATAGAGATGAATGAAAGTTCCGAGAACATGATGTGCACTGTGCAGGTTCCCATTTATCGTAGTACTGGATGTCCGCCTCATGTCACATCACTGGTTCACGAAAAGCAGTGGATGATGAAGACACAACTTTTGCAAGAGAAGCTTGATCAAGTGGTGGCAGGCAATGAACAGCTGGTGGCAGCCAATGAACAGCTGGTGGCAGCCAATGAACAGCTGAGACTGAAGCAAGACAGCATGATGCAAAAGATGGAGGTGGAATTCAAGGAGATTGTCAACTATTTTAAACAGTCTCAGGGAAAGAATGAGGAAAATCGCCTGCTATTGCTACAACAGCTTGAGGTATCTATGCAACAAAATCATGGCCGTAAAGATGCAACGATGCGTTCAAGTTGTGTGTTGACTCGAACTGTGAAAATTTGGCTAAGTGTTGGACACTCTGAGGCGGGTGGCCACACAAAGCGGAGGGTGGGGATGGGGGTTCGACATGCAGGGGTGGGTACTAAATGATAGATTTGGAGGGGTGGGGTCCATTTCCGAACAATTTTTATGTTACTTCTATAGTAAATGGAAAAACCGACAATAAAGAACTGTAATCTCCTGTTTTGGTCTGTAATCTCCTGTAATCTCCTGTAAGAACTGTAATCTCCTGTAATCTCCTGTTTTGGAATTTTCACACTTGAAAATTATTATTATAATAATTGCCTTTTGATCGGGGGCAAGGGGACCTGTGTTTCGGTGGCACCCGTAGGTATCCATACAAAACAACCGGTGTAGAAAAAAAAGGTTTCCGTTGCTAGCTGGCATACGACTCCTTGATTTGAAAACAAAAATACTTATTGGCTGGATTTACTACACTCGTCAATGGCTGACACTAATAAGATTTCATGAGCGTGTATCGAAATATACGAATAACCTAACCCCCTCCATATCAGACAAACATACCGGTACACAGGGTAGAGAGCAGCCAAGAGGCGTGTAAGCCGGAACTCAAATGCTTAAAACAAATATAAAAGAGTACTGAGTGGTACAAATCATTCTGGTACAAAATTGACTAAAAACTGTATGCTTATGATCAAATTAACAGGTACAAGTGTTTGTTAAAAGGATATAAGTTTATAATTGGGCATTAGTAAATGCCATGGAATGGTGCCTGAGCGGCACCCGCCTCCTCAGGGCGGGTCAGCGCGGAACCCGCGGCGCTCGCACCGTCCGCTTCTCGACCGGGACTATCAACCATCAGAACAGCCTGATGATTGACGAGCTTTTAGAGAAGACCAGCTCTTGGTAAGCATGAATAAACCTCTTTGTAAGAAAGACATCTGTCAAAGTCAGAGTATAAATGACCGCTTTCCGTGCATGTCACATGCTGGTCCTATGGTCAGGGGTGAGACGAGGTTCGAAGAGGCAGAAACTAACCCTCACGTGTTGCAGGCTCTTTCGGATATGGGTAGCCGGACTGACCTTGATCTACAACTGTTCCTACAGAGGGATGCACCCAGGCGTGTCTACTTCCCTCGCGACAGCTCGGAGAAGACGACAAGGCACTGGGGGCAGAGAAAGCTTCTGATGTGTGAGATCAAGTTTATTCTAGATCACTGCAACCCTGGCATCCGTGAGGTGCTCTACATCGGAGCGCACCTCCTCGTGATTGCTGATCTATTTCCTGATCTTCATTTCACCCTCATTGACCCTTCACCGTTTCACAGTGGCATACTGGCCATGAATGCAAGATTCAGGGTCATCAACAGGCTTTTCGATGAGTCCATGGCGGAGGAGTACAAGGGGAGGACTGACCTTCTGGTCATATCCGATATCCGCTCGGCAAACTACAGGAGGGAGTCGACCGATGAGAACGAGTTGAAAATACACCGCGATATGGCGCTACAGGCGGTCTTTGTCAAGATTATCAATCCAGCTGCTGCCATACTGAAGTTTCAGCTGCCATGGTCGGATGGAAAGACCAAGTACCTGGATGGATACTTGATGCTACCCATATGGGGGCCCTGCAGCACCACGGAGTGTAGGCTTGTGGTGAGGAAGGATGCGGGCCTTCGCCTTTATGATAACCGAGAGTATGAGGAGCAGCTGTTCTGGTTCAACACAGTGCGGAGGGTTGCGCGCTACCGGCATGAACAAGAGACCAATCCTGCCTACCCTGGGTACGACCACTGCTTCGACTGTGCGGCGGAAATAGCAATCCTGACCGAGTACGTGACCAAGCACGACGCCTGCAAGGGAGAGCCTGTAACTTCGGCTGTGCAGAGGCTGGCGTCAAGACTAACCAGGGTACTGAGCAAGACCCGATGCCTGAGTCACCGTAACCTCTCGAAAGAGTCACTGTATCAAGCCATTACGGAAAGGCAATGCGGTTTGAAGAGGAGGAGAGACTGGGAGGATCCAGAGAAGGGGTCGCCCCTCCCAGCGTCGAGCACTCTATAAAGCAGCATCAAACGCCGTCTTTCCCGAACTTCGGAACGGGAAGGGGGGCATGGTGAGATCCTGGCTTCCGCTGACCCTGGCGGTGGGCCTTGCCTCTGTCTGTTGCCTGCCCGTGTGCGCGGGCCAGGGCTTCATCCCCGTGTATGATAATGTGAACGTCATGACCACCGCCACGCTGCACTCGGCCTCGTCGGTGACTTTCGACTACGCCGGCCAGCTCTGGTCGATGAAGTTCACGGTCCCGGCGATGCAGCCGGGGGAGGTCTATGCCGCCTTCGTGCTGGACCAGCGGCAGCCCACCGGTCCGAGCTACAACTTCCTGACTGAGCAGGCGCCGTGGTGCGGGATCACGATGTCCTACTGCTGCTACGCGGACCTTCTGAACCGTACCCACTACTTCAACGACGCGCTCTCCGGGGCCGTCGCAGGGCTGGGGGGCGGTGCCTCGAACATGGACGGCTGGGCCCTTGCGCTGTCCAACCTCACCGCCTTCGGTCAGGTGCGGGGCTCGGAGGGCATCCGCTTCGATTACCCCTCCGGCACCCTCTTCGTTCCCCACACCTCGGCCCAGCTCTACGGCTTCGAGTACCTCGACGAGAAGAAGAACTACGTGATAGACTTCCGGTTCCTGGTCGTGTACCAGCAGTTCAGCGGAGGGGTGCTCGACCTCGTCTTCGTGCCGTACCAGGCGGTGCTCCTCCGTGACATCAACGACCTCTATGCGAGGAGCTACTCGGACGTGCAGCAGTGCTCGGTCTCGGGGCTCTACAGCCCTGCCAACAGCTTCTGGCTCGCGAGGTACGAGAGCCCGGAATCCACCGCCAAGGTTTGCCAGTGGTTCTGCAGGCAGGGCTACTACTCCTTCCCCATGCATGCCGACCAGAGCGGGGGGCCCGGGTCGGAGGGCGCCACCTGCCTCCCCCCTCCCTCCCTCGGCGTCGCTGTCGGGTACACCTTCTGGCTGATCCTCAACACGACGGAGCTCTCGCAGCAGTTTGGGGTTCCGGTGGTGCCGCAGAACCTGACGCTCCAGTCCGCCCCCGGGGTGGGGGCCTGGGTGGACCGTGGCAGCCTGTCGTCCAACCTGAGCCTGGCTCTGGGCAACAGCCTCGTTGTGATCCATGGGAGCAGGACACCCGTGCGGACGGTGGCCCAGCTCCACAACAGCCAGTACGCGAGGGAGTGGAGGGTCTACATGCAGACTCTCCGGTCGATCTACCTTCCTCCGGCAGCAGGTCTCTACCCCCTACCGCTTTCCCGAGTGGCTGCAGCGCCTGGGGGTGTTCAATCAGGAGGGGGTGATCGACGTCGCCGCCTACCCCGTCGTGACTCAGGAGGTCGGGGGGCAGGGTCAGGGTGCCGATGGACTCGAGAAGGCAGATGGCCCCGCCGCCGGTGGACGCGGTGGCCCTGGAGGTGGTTTCGTACCTTGACGCGCAGGGCCTGACGCTCACGGACGTTGTGAACGCGATCTTCGAGTCTACTGTGTCCCTAGTCAACAGCACCTCGGTGAAGGGTGTGTGGGGGGCGGACATCTTCATCCGTGACATGACGGTGAGGGTGCAGAACGTCGGGCCCGGCTTCAGCTCCGCCTTCCTCCTGCTTCTCGCCTGCATGATCTTCGCCGGCTGTCTCGTGTGTGGGCTGCTGATCCAGGCCTTCGTGGTGCCGGCCAGCTCCGGGGGGTACGCGGACATCACCCAGACGGGGCACGTCATCGAGGAGCTTGCCATCTGAGGGCCTGTGTGTGTGTGTGTATGTGTATGTGTGGAAATGTGGAAAGTAAAAGATTCAGACCCTGCCCGGCCACTCCCGCCCCAGCGCTGTGGTGTGCCGCATCATCTCTATTTAGGTCGGAACCGAGACGGGACGGCATGGTAGCACTGGGATACATGTCTTCGAACCGACCGTCGGCGCAGCGCCCCGTGATTGCCAAGGACAGCTCGCAAGCTGCCAGCACCGGCCCCAACAGCACACACAGCTATCACAACCTGCAGACCTTCCAGAATGAGGCGGTCGCGACCACGATCAACGCGGTGCTGAAGGACGGCCTGCTGACGCCCATGAGGTCGTTGAAGCCCTCGGAGTGCCAAACCCTCATCAAGTGCGTCCTGAGCAAGGAGGAGCCCGAGGCGGCGCTCATCGGCACCGCGATGGTGAAGATCCCGAAGGGCCTACCAAAGGGCGGGGACTGGTGTGCCTACGGTTCCAGCGCTTCCATCGTTCTATCCCCCTGCAACACACTCTTCGAGGACCTCCAGCAGCTCAGGGAGGCGATGCTGACCCACGTTCGAGCCCTGCACGCCAAGGACAGCAAAGCCGAGAGGCCGGAGGATCACTCGCCGGTGGACGAGCGGATCTCCAGCACTCTCCTCCCCTGCTCGGTCTTCCACGGCTTGAGCAAGGTGAGTGACAAGGTCGGGGGTTACCAGATCACCTCCCGCTTCGGCAGCGTCTTGCTCTCGGCCAGGGACATGGTGAGGTGCAACGCCGCTCCCCCGAGCTCGAGTGGACGACGCAGGCACGGGCCGTCAAGGCCGTCTCGAAGAGCATGGAGGAGTCCGGCCTCTCCACGAGGGCAAGGACGGTACCTACGTGCTGGACCTGCTCTACATGCCCTCCCCGGAGGGATCGTCGCAGGCCCTGGCGGCCAGCGTGGTGAAGATGGTGGGGAGCGACGTCCCCGTGGGGTGGAGCAATGGGATCCACGCCTTGCAGCAGAACGGTTTATTGACGACAAGCACGGGACTAACAGGTGCGACCTGGTGTGCGGGCAGGCCCACGCCCTTCACAGCCACGCCAGGAAGATCACCAAGATCCACGTCAGCAACCAGGTGATGAGGGAGATCCTGAGGATGCGTCCCGAGCCCCTCTCCGACGAGGCGAGGAGGCTGACGGCGCAGCACAAGGGGCGCTACATCAAGTCCGAGTCGCTGATGCAGACACTGAACGGCGAACTGAGGAAGGAGATGACCAAGGAGGAGCTCGCCGAGGCCGATGCCTTCGTGGCCAAGGCCTACAAGCGCAGGGAGCCCACCGTCGAGTGCGTCCGGGGTCAGGTGACAAAGACCTACAACCCCGCGGGAGCCGAGATAGCGACCGTCTCTGCGGACTTCGAGATGGGCTACAACACGAGCCTCTCCTGCGCGACGCCGCCCTTCAAGGGGAAGAGCATCACGCTCGAACTCGGCAACTGCTGGAAGCTCGAAAGCCACGTCATGACCCTCATCCCCAAGCACTGAAAGCAGACGTTTTCGCTTCTGAGAAGTATTTTTTTTATTCTATGAAAAGATTACTTCTGATTTCCCTTGATGCATTGAAAAGGTTACTTTTGGTCCATCGCGGTCCCCTTCCCCATTTTGTAGCCGTCGCCGCTCGCCCTGCCCTGTGTTTGTTCTGCCATGGAGATTCCAATCCGAAGCTCGACCAAGAGCAGGTTCATCTCACGTCACTGATTACTCTATGAATCAACTTCGCACATGGTGGTTCCCCTACACAGCGAGATGCTCCGGTCTATTCGGGACTTCTCTGAAGCCTAGCAGGATGTTCAATTCAACATTTACATGCGGCGAGATAATATCCGAGCTCTTCAACATCTGGTGCATATCTCCACACCTTTCCAAACCTCCTACCTCAGTTGCCACTGCTTTCAAAGCCCCGCCGTTTCTCTTCGACTCTCTTTCTCTCATTCTTCCGCATCGATATCAATCCTTTGTCGCCTCATACTTGTCAATCTCCACAGCCTTGTAGTGCTCCATGTGCTAATACAGGTTCACTTCGGTACAGGCTGCCTCAAGAGCAAAGTAAGGCTGTTGTATACACAACACAGAGATAGTCAACGACACGAGTAAACTACGCACAACCACCACACTCACTGCGCATGCAAGTGGGGGAAATTCAGGAGGCCGTCCGCACGAGATGCGTCCGCCTATATAGGGAATATCCGGCAGAGTATCCGACGAGTATCCGAGGTTCCGGATCCTCATGGATACAACATCGCTCCATCTGCGCTTGACAACTTAGTACCAACTTGTCCTTCGCTCTTACCATGAGGAGATGAACGACAGGATTCAAAGTTCCACTTCAGACGAGTCGGAGGAGTCCAAGGCGTTGGAGGGTAAAGCTTGAAGAGCTTCACGTTCTTCAAATTGACGGATGAGGTCGCGAAGACCTGATTTCTTCTGCAATTCACGAGCAGGGAGCCAATTGTTCTCACTGACTTGATCATAGCCTGTCCATTTGGAGCACGACGCGTTCCGATCAAGCGGCAGCACGAAATGGCTTAGCGAGCTCAGGCAGTAGAATGCCCGAACCACGACGTCGCGTATCGCCATCCTCCTCCCTCCCTCCCCGCCTTGCCCCGGCTCCCCCGGTCTCCCCGGCGCCTGTTTTTTTGGCGGTTCTATCACAGCCCACCGCCCTCCCTGCTCGCGAAGCCCATGGGATTAAATCTTTCTTGATCGGGGCTCTCCACGAGATGCATTTCTTGCCCTGCTCCTCGTGCACCATGAGTCCTTGGTCCTTCAACTTGGCGCACAGTACTTCTACTTGTTTTATGTACTGAGCAGGTACTCCGAGGATAGCCATAGTTATCAGTTTACCATTCTCGGGAGACGCTCCTGAAGCATCGATGGAGGCACTCTTGTCTAGTACCTCCTGTTTGTCTGCGTTCCATGCAGAGACATACCACGACTGTCCTTCTTCCCCCCATTCTTTGATGGCATCCTCCTGGCTCCTGACTTCAGCATGTTTGCAGGTCTGTCGAATGGCTTCGGCTAAGGCGTTCATCGAGACTTCCTTGGACTGCAAGGCTCTGCCTGTCCTGCTCTGAGGGTACTGCCTGACGAAGTGTTCCAATCTTCGGATCAGCTCTCCTAGCGAAGGTGCTGAAGGTGTCGTGTCCTTGTTTAGGAACTGGGAAACTCGGACACGAGCAATCTGTTTCCTTTCCTCTTTGGATAGATACCACATGATCAAACAACCGTTTCTGCACAGAAAAATATCCTGTTCAGCACCCTAGCTCGCAAGGATCCCCCTCAAACTGTGGGGGAGGACTGCATGCTTTTGAGTCCGGCGGCCTGCTTTTGAGTCCGGCGGCCTGCTTTTGAGTCCGGCGGCCTGCTTTTGAGTCCGGCGGCCTCCTAAACCCTAAACCCTAAACCCTAAACCCCTGCCCCAAGAAAGCGAGCCTGCCCCAAGAAAGCGAGCCTGCCCCAAGAAAGCGAGCCTCCTAAACCCTAAACCCTATTTTTATTATCATGTGAGTTTATTAGAATGCTAGAATGTTGCTCGGCCTCCTTGTGGGCTTTTGCAATTTGATCCTAGTCTAAAGAGGCGCTCGAGCACTGGGAGTACACGGCCTACAATGCGAACCCTGCTTCTGAGGTCTCTTTCTACTTTCTACTTCTGCTGTCTTCTCTTGGCTTCCTCAGCCTCAGTCAGGAGAGTTGCCTCTCCTCACCTTGGCCTTCGGTCGCCACCTACTCCTCCTCCATTCAGCTTCCTCAGCCTCAGTCAGGAGAGTTGCCTCTCCTCACCTTGGCCTTCGGTCGCCTCCACCTTCTCTACTTACCTTGAGCTCAGCTCAAGCTCGGTACGGGCTCGCCCCGTCTTCTTCCTCGCCCTCGCCTTGCTCTTCCTCCATGTCTTCCTCTTCTTCGCCATCTTCCCTCATCTCCACCCGCAGTCGGTCCTTCTTGTCCACCTTCAGCGAGCAGGCCAGCACATGCATCTCTGCGAATTTACTCAGTGCTATGAACAGGAAGCTAAGAGATCGACGCTCTATGTCGTCGCTCTCCGCCTCCTGCTCAAGCTCAGCAGCTGCCGTTGCCCGTGGCGAGAACGCGCTGCCCCTCCTTGCCTTCTTGCTCTCTCCTTGCACGCGAGTCCAGCCCACTCCCTGCTCCTCTGGCGTCTTCGCCCACTCTCCCAGCGACATGAACTCCAGGCTCCCCGGAGAGTAGAAGGTGTCGTGGAGGTTGCCAACGGCCTTGTCCAGGACCAGCTTGATCGGCTCGCTCGTCCCCGCCTCGTTCAAAGAAGTTGCATCTTCGATGACTGCTGACAGCTCGCTGACGAGCTGCATGTCCTCTTGGCTTGACGGAGATGCTGCCTCCATTGTGATCCTCTCCAGGTCTGTAAACTCCAGCCACTCTCCCTCGCTCTCCTCCTGTCGCTGCGCTGCGTCGCTGGTGCCCCGCTGACCAGCCGCCTCAGGCTCCTTGTCGAAGCCGACTGCTTCGAGCTTGGTTGCTGCGCCTTCGAGATAGAAGGGCAGCTCCTTCATCATGCATCGAGCATCCTCCGTGAGCTTGGACCCGTTCCAGGACTTGGTGTTCAAATCCTCCTCCATGTCGATGCCTTCAACTTTGATCTCGAGCCTGTTAGCGATCTCCAACAAGACTCTCTTGACTCTTGCGATGGACGTGTTGCCGCCGTTGCACAGCCCCTCCATCTCCTTCCTCGTGAAGCGACCAGATGCCGCCGTCGACTTGATGATGATCTTGATCTCCTTGCCGTCCTTGCCGCCTGCCTTCTTCTGCATCCTTGATGCCTTCTTCAACTTATTTCTGGACACAAAGCGATCAGCTGTCAACTCGACTGCGAGCGCCTCTCTGATCTTCGGGTCCTCGCTGAACAGAGTCAGGTGTACTCCCTCCATCGCTTCGCTCTCTCGGAAAGCTCGAAATGCTGTATCATTCGCCTCTGGGCAGCTCGAGGAGACGATCCACTCCACCTCCCTCTGTCTCCAGATGACGTTGGCCCCTACAGCGACGAAGCCTTTCCGACCTAAGCCTTTGTGGTGCTGTCCTGGCGCCCCAGCGACCAGCATGCCTAAACCCTAAACCCTAGTAGTAGTAGTAGTAGTAGTCGATTTTATTAGAATGCTAGAGTAGTCGCATCGGGTCCTAAACCCTAAACCCTATACCCTATGGGCCAGTTGCTGAACTGTTTTGTTTCAGCGAGCATCCCTAAATGTTCTAGGAATTCGTATGACAGCGGAAGGCCTTCCTGTATATCTTGGATGTCAGCCATGGCGGTGGTCAGATGCTCCCACCAAGCTTGCGAGTTGAGGGGGCTGTTATGCGTTTTGCTGATATGTTGAGCGATTTGCAGTAGGATCTCTATTTGGCTTCATCGTCATCTTCTTTCCTCGCAAACGGCGCCGAGGGAAGGGAAGGTTCTGCTTCTTTGATGTCTTGTTCCTCTCCCAGCGACATGAACTTCAGGCTCCCCGCAGAGTAGAAGGGCGCCCGGGCGGCTTCCCCTACACCTGGCGCGCAGCCATGATGCGTGGTAGTAGTTGAGTTTATTAGAATGCTAGGTAGGTTGCATGGCTTGTTATCACCTTGCCCTATTCTAGTCTAACAGGGATCTCGTGACCTGGCAGTTCGGCCCGCCGTTGGCGGCCTCGTGTTCCAGTCTTCGGATCAGCTCTTCTAGCGAAAGTTCTGAAGTTGCACAAGCTGTCCAAGTCGTTCAGGTCTTTCCTCCTCCAGTCGACCAGTATGCAAGAGTATCTGAATGTTGCAGTCATGATCACGTTTCTCAGCCAAGAATTAAAGCTGGGTCAGCTCTGCCAAGCTTCTTCTCTTGCCTTTAGGGTTTAGGGTTCTCTCTCTCTCCTAAAGGCTTTTGCTCCTGTGAGAGTCCATCTATCTGACTCAGTAGATGCTCAATGATTTCAAGTTTCAATCATTCTCGGTTGCCTTCCAAGTCAGTGATAGCATTTGACACTGTCTTCTATCAAAGAACCTGTGTCGACTGTAAGCAACATGGTAGATTTAGCAAGGAAAAGTCAAGAGAACCAAGAAGTTCAAATTATCTTTACACGGTAAATTTAAGTCCCATATGAGAGAACAAGATAGGATTAGAAACGGTTGAATCGCTAATAAACACAAGATTTGCTATTCAAATACTATTGAGATCCAAAATCATTGAGAAAACCAGGCAAGTGACACTATCGTTAGGCATGGCATGTCCTTTGGATTCCATAAGACCGCCATATGGAAATGCCATTTGTTAATCCATGACATGTTCTAGTTCAAAGACACTACGATGAAGGCTGCCAGACATTTTGGTGCTTCTGCATACCTCTCCGTCCAACCCCTGACCCCCTCTCTGTTCATGTTTGAGAGTCATCCTCTGGAAGAGTTACCAGCCAACCCATTTCTACATCAATAACCTGAGAAACTCGATTGGATCTGCACAAAAACTTTAAAACTCAACATGATCATTGATGATTACTTGTCATACCTGGTCATTAGGTCAAAGCAATGTGCCGTCTCACAATCTTCAGAGTCAAAATGGAGATTCGTTCTGAAATCACTCGTCAAAATTGAAATGAGAACTGAAGCAATATACCCTGGTGTTTGCACTTCTGGTTCATTTGAGTTACATTCGAAAATAGGAAAACACAGCACTGCACCCTTCGCTTTGGCAGGCAACGAGGTTTCCAAGAGCCTGACATGCGAATCAACAGATAGAAGGTAATTATCACAGAATTCCTCACCTGCGTTCAATAAGCATCTTCCGTCGAATTCTATTCACAGGATTGTAGATTTCTGTTTTTTGAAAACAAGTTTTCGGCACCACCAAGGTTTCTGAGACTTCCTTACAGTCAGCAGTCATGATGTCATGCTGCAGTTTTAATATTTGCACTCCGTTCACAAGTTGAGATTCTTCTTGTATTTCTGTTCGGATAACGCTTCGCGAAGCTCTTCACCCTCTCGACGAGATCAGCTTCGAGGACAGAGGCATCCACAAGTCCGCTCTGCGTGTATTGGCATGATCTCCGATACAGCAGGTTGCGAACATTTTCATCATACTGAAGAACCATACTTAGAAAGCTATTTGAACACCTGACGAGGAGCCATGCTGCCGAAAATAACGGCGCCTCCTAAACCCTAAACCCTGCTTCTGAGGTCTCTTTCTACTTTCTACTTCTGCTGTCTTCTCTTGGCTTCCTCAGCCTCAGTCAGGAGAGTTGCCTCTCCTCACCTTGGCCTTCGGTCGCCACCTACTCTACCTCCGTTCAGCTTCCTCAGCCTCAGTCAGGAGAGTTGCCTCTCCTCACCTTGGCCTTCGGTCGCCACCTACTCCTCCTCCATTCAGCTTCCTCAGCCTCAGTCAGGAGAGTTGCCTCTCCTCACCTTGGCCTTCGGTCGCCACCTACTCTACCTCCATTCAGCTTCCTCAGCCTCAGTCAGGAGAGTTGCCTCTCCTCACCTTGGCCTTCGGTCGCCTCCTACCTTCTCTCCTTACCTTGAGCTCAGCTCAAGCTCGGTACGGGCTCGCCCCGTCTTCTTCCTCGCCCTCGCCTTGCTCTTCCTCCATGTCTTCCTCTTCTTCGTCATCTTCCCTCATCTCCACCCGCAGTCGGTCCTTCTTGTCCACCTTCAGCGAGCAGGCCAGCACATGCATCTCTGCGAATTTACTCAGTGCTATGAACAGGAAGCTAAGAGATCGACGCTCTATGTCGTCGCTCTCCGCCTCCTGCTCAAGCTCAGCAGCTGCCGTTGCCCGTGGCGAGAACGCGCTGCCCCTCCTTGCCTTCTTGCTCTCTCCTTGCACGCGAGTCCAGCGCTTGCTCTGCAGCCACTTCCCCAGCTTCTCCTTGAGAACGTTGCGTCCCACTCCCTGCTCCTCTGGCGTCTTCGCCCACTCTCCCAGCGACATGAACTCCAGGCTCCCCGGAGAGTAGAAGGTGTCGTAGAGGTTGCCAACGGCCTTGTCCAGGACCAGCTTGATCGGCTCGCTCGTCCCCGCCTCGTTCAAAGAAGCTGCATCTTCGATGACTGCTGACAGCTCGCTGACGAGCTGCATGTCCTCTTGGCTTGACGGAGATGCTGCCTCCATCATATTGGTCTTTTCTCGCACGCCGGGTCTGGTATCATTTGTCCCTTTTGCACCCTTGCTTCCGAAGGATACCGGTCTTCGTTCCAATCATATCGGGGGTGGTCAGAGCTTGCTTGCACCCCATCAATTCCCTGGCTTTGTTGGTGTAAGGGTGGGTAGTGGACGGGCTCTGCTTCAGGTGGTACACAATAGCAACCTGCAGTCCCCCTCTGAGACTTATAGAAGAGGATCTTTTTTAAAGGGGACTTATACATTGTAAACAATGATTATGGTACAAACTTACTCATTTTCTAAATTTGAATCTGTACTGTCTTTCTATTTCTGGTACTACAAAGGCAGGGTAGGTGCTTTTGGGGGCTTTTTGTGGGGTAGGGTAGTGACCCCCCTCCCCCCGAGTTTAAAGATTTGAATTTCCCGCCTTGGCACCGAGGCACGCATAGCTTGAAATATAGGCTTCAAAACATGCCTAAAACTTGAAAATTTCAGAGAGATTTTGATCTATAGACAAAGAACTACTCATGGGAAGGCGAAAGACTGGAAGAACATCCTTGCAACACAAGGAGTTGCGAGATGAACAGCGCATATGGCTCAAGGGAGAGATTCTCCGCAGCTACGAGCAGCTGGCGCTCAAAAATGGTTTCGTATACGCAAATGGTGTTTGGAAAGGTCAAGGTGATGTCAATTCATTCATACAGGCTCTTGGTAAGTTCACATTTAAGTGTTTTTCATTGCTAGCTTGTAATCATGATAATCTTCAGTAGGTGATGAAAAATTTAAGCAATCGCTCCCTAATTCTGGCAAATGCTTCGACGAAGTGTTGGCTGAAGGAATTGCCGAGCTCAATTTGTCCGAGGCTATGGACCCTATGGATAGGCCTTCAAGTACCATTTCCATCAAGAACGCAAACCTAAAACAAGTTGTGCGGAAAAAGGTAAATAGAGAATTCAAAGCAATCCGTGATTACTTGCTGCACAAAGTTGATCGGTTGTGTGGCCTGCACAAGGCAAACTGTAAGGTGAAGTGGAGGCATTTCTTTGATATTCTTGGAGAACAAGACTCAGATGAGCAGTTGGAAGAAACTGAAGGGGATTCGGATTCCCCATCGCAAGACGGATCCCAAGCCAAAAGGCAGAAAACAAGAAGCAGAAACTTCGTTGAAGGATTCTTGAGGAGCAATGTTGTGAATAACGTGTTGGAAACATCTTTGGGTTCAGATCTGGGCCTTTTAAACGGTTTGAAGCACGCTGCAAGACACCTAGTACCAACACCGCATGAAATTGCTGTAAATCTCAGTTCATTGGGGATAACAAAGCGACAATACGAAGGGTTTCGATCAATGGATGGCCTCAAGGGATGCTTTCCAGATTATGATAAAATATCTCAGGTGCGAGTGGAGGTCAAGCATGACCTTACTAGGAAGTTGAAAATTAATTGCACAGAGGATGGAACTCATTACCTTGATCTGATCTCAACTGTCGAAGAACTTGTCGATTTGTTGCATCTGATTGGAAAAGACCGGCTTACTATCTGTATCAATTATGATGGAGCCACCATTACGTTTTCTGCTGGCAATAACAAGAAAGCCACTGATGTAACCATAACGATCCTCCCATTTCAGAGTGACTGCACTGACGGAGAATGGAACTTTTGGGAGAAGCTTGCTCGCGAATCTTCTTGTTTGCTTACAATTGCTTACATGCCTCATCCTGATAGCCCTGAGGTTTTTAAGCGAAGCTTTTGGGTACCCTTTGGACCAGCACTGCGGGAGCTGCAAACTTATGGGATTCAAATTTTCGATGGCAAGGCTGCTGGTGGGATGCAGAAGCGCCGCGAAGGTAGACATCCAGACAAAGTGATCAGTGTTCTGTTCATAATGAGATCAGACATGCAAGGTCACTGGTACATTTTCGATATTGGTGGAATGAGAGATGTTGAAAAGATGTTTTGCATGTGTTGCACCGAGCTACTTACAGATCACAGAGCCGGTTCATGGTTTAAAATCGTGACAGTCACTGAATCTGACAATCTGATCACCTTTTGTGAGAAACATCGGATTGTGATGGATAGTATCCAGAGTCTGAATGAAGATTGCAAAAACCCAGCCTGTTTCAAGTCCTTTCACGAGACGGATTACGCTGAATTCCAAGAAATGATGGATACCCACAATCAAGCAAGAGTCATGGAATCTTTGATGGACCCAAGCAAAGTTATTCCCCCAGGTACAAAGTTTCCTATGCTGCGCCGTGTTCCCATTTGCAGACAGAATATTCAAGGCATGAATCCATTGTTTTTTATTCACTGCACGATGCACATGCATGGAAGGATAGTGAACTCGATGATATGTGCGTTGCAGGAAAGAGCTGTACAATTGAGGAAGCTCGCCTTCATCAACGATGAATTACAATCTCGCGGTGTTTCAGTTCAGTTTAACGACAAATCTGGTCGCAGGCAATTGAATGGAGAGCAATGTACCAGATTTTTGAAGAATTCTCCAATGATTATTGACTACTTGTATGAGACTGATTCAGAGAAGAGACAAGAATGGCATGAAGTCGTTGAAGAATGGTCCTTTTTGAGTAGCGTACTCATGACACAGCATCGAGACAAAATTGATCTAGAAGTAGCAAAGCAAATCCCAGCCAGGATTCGAAGTTGGTGTGTGAAATATATAGACGTCGTTGGGGACGTGAAGATGTTACAGTCATTTTACTTCCATAGCTTGTGCGTCGGCCATATCGGTGATCAGTTCGAAAGCATCATGGAAGAATGTGGAATTCCTTTAGGATTGTTGAATATGTCGAACGTTGAAAACAGACATCGCTGGCAAGGTAGACCTTCATTTGCTCAAGCCTTAACAGAAATCAATGCTTTCATGAGCGGAAAGCGTCGCAGAGAAGATGGAGTTCATCAGCCAATTGCAGAAGATGACTGCACATTCGAGGCAGCGTGGTCGTATTATGCCATTTCTTTGTTATTGATGAACAGTTGGCACAATTTAGAGAAAAAGGGAATTGAGTACAAAAAAATTTTAGAGGGAGGTTTAGGCGGTATGTAATAAATTAAATGTTAAAGTTTAAGATATCGCAAAGGCGGAAAGGAGCCGTAATCTGCAAATTTCATACGTTCTGTGTAATTGGTGGGAACCTCCAAATCTCTTTGCCATTCCATCCATGCCTGAAAATTTTTGCCCATTTGAACGTTAACGAACCAGGACTAAATTTGTAGCGCTTTAGGCTAATCGTTAACGGCCCCTCTACGTAAAGCGATCCTGAAGAGTTTGCAAGCTCGAGAGGGCACTCCTTAAATGGTATATTCAAATACCGTTGCACGATGGATGACTTCAAAGATGTCTCAGGTATGATCCAAGAGCATGTGACGAGTGTACTGTAGCTTACATACGAACATTGGATCTCACTGGCCTGTTGATTTTCTGCTTGACAAAGCTTCAATAAAAACAAGATTGCGTTCACATCCGCAAGTTCGACATTGAACCGTAAGGGAGCTTCTTTTGCTGCTTCCAAACTTCGAACCTTGGGTTTTCCTCTGAGCTGCAACCATTTATGCAGACTGTGCCTGACTTTGGACAATTCCCAATACAATGAATCAACGATATGGACATGTCGGTTCAAAACGTTAAAATAATTCTGCAGATGATCCGCCGTTAGTTTGAAAGACTTGAAGAAAGAAACTTGACATTCCTGACTTTTGCGTTCAGATACGCCAAAATACAACCACCCGACAATGAGCAAGCTTTTCATCGAGATTCCTTTAAGAGAAACTTGCGCACAATTGATGGACACTATTCCTTGAATGTCTTGCATTGGAACCTCATCCATGTAACTGCTTTGCAAGCAGTGGAAATCATCCATGCGATCTCTGATCTGAATCAACCTTGTTGGAGATTTGATATTCTGTTGAACTTCGTGCAAAACATCCTTGGTGTACAGAATGTAAACTGATACAAAATCATTTGAAACCTCTTTGATCAAACCGTACCGATTTTGCTTGTTTACGTCCAAGAAGGAAATTCCCATGGATGGCTGCAAGGCAAAACTCAAATGGCTTGTTTCGTCGTAAAACACACCGGGATTAGATTTCTGTGGCCTATTGTTAACGAACATCCTTTGAAAGAAGAATGGTAGCTTGAGAGTCTGGGGTACACCATTGCCATGTTCGTCGTCCACGTCGTCTGGTTGGGCGACGCTACAAGAAATTCTGATTCTCTCTCGTCCTTTTAATGCTGAGTGTCGTAACAGACTTGGAGAACGCATCTCAAGTCTGTTACAGCCGTGATCAGCGACAGACTTATGGAGTATGCGTGAAGAGGAGAGAGAAGCAAGAGGAGAGATGATGCCCGTGGTACCCCAACCCACAATACGGGTCATGGATACAAAAGGAAAAAGATGGGGTAGGGGTTGCGATTTAGTACCATAATCAAAAACTAAAAACATGTAAAATCCAGTGAAAACAACATATATGAATAGACCAAGTCCTGATAACTAACTTTTCTCAATATAAAAATTCAAACCCCAAAACCACCCCATGATACAAATAACCCCCCTTCGACAACAATGTCAAGGGGCACTAGCGCGGCAAGATCCCGACCGATATGTGTGATCCTCTCCAGGTCTGTGAACTCCAGCCACTCTCCCTCGCTCTCCGCCTGTCGCTGCGCTGCGTCGCTGGTGCCCCGCTGACCAGCCGCCTCAGGCTCCTTGTCGAAGCCGACTGCTTCGAGCTTGGTTGCTGCGCCTTCTAGAGAGAAGGGCAGCTCCTTCATCATGCGTCGACCATCCGTCTTCGGGCTCGGCCCTTTGCGACCTCTCTGCCCAGCACCCTGCAGGAGCATGCCCGCCAGCGGTTGTACCTCTGCTGCGGCGAGACATTGCGAGATCAGTTGGAATTGATAGATCCGAGCTATGTCCGCCGTCGACATTCCTCCAAGAGCTAGGAGCTGCGATAGCTCGGCAAGGCTCCCTCCCTTGCCCCAAGGTCCTCGCTTGGCTCGGAGCTTGAACGACCGGTCGTGTGCAATGCTGACTTCAGTTGCTCTGAAAACTCGCCCGTCCATGCTGTACTCTCTGCTGCCTTGCCAGAGTGCGATGGCTTCTTCATTCCGAAGGAAGGAGATGGTGACTGAGATGTCGTCTGCTCGTGCTATCTCAGGTCTGTAAGGTGCTTTCCACATGATGGACTTGTCGTCTCTATCGACTGAGTCTACTATGAGTCCCAGCTCCGTCAACTTCATTTTCAACTTTTCTTCTTGTCGCACATACATCGAGGAGATGCCCAGGAGAGTCATGGAGATGAAGGAGGTCTCCTCGGTGTCTTCGGTGCCGATGTAAGTCTCGACATTCTGCTGTTTGGCCTCTTTCATCTGTTGCATGAACCATGCTTTCGACTCTGGGCTCCATGCGCTCAGAGAGTCTTCAAACAGGTCGCGTCTCGCCTGCCGACATGTCGAGCGGATGGCTTCTGCGATAGCGTCGGGAGTGCATCCCCCCTCAGCTCTGCAAGCATGAGCTGTCCGACTATTCGGATAACGCTTGGTGAAGCTCTTCACTCTCTCGACGAGGTCGGCCTCTTCGACGTGGCCTCCTGAGCGCTCACCCTGCGTGTATTGGCATGATTTCCGATACAGCAGGTTGCGAACGCTCTCATCATACTGTAGTACCATACTTAGAAAGCTGTTTGAACTGCACAAACCTCTTGCTCGCAGCTTCCTCCGGTGCCCTTGCGCTCTCCCCTCTCCTCCCCCCTAGTCTCCTTGTCGGTCTTCGAGGTTGGCGCTGTGTGCATTGCTTGTGGCGGAGGAGGTGGCTGGGGTGGAGAGACGGCTAAACCCTAAACCCTATTATTATTATTATGTGAGTTTATTAGAATGCTAGAATGTTGCTCGGCCTCCTTGTGGGCTTTTGCAATTTGATCCTAGTCTAAAGAGGCGCGCGAGCACTGGGAGTACACGGCCTACAATGCGAACCCTGCTTCTGAGGTCTCTTTCTACTTCGAAATGCTGTATCATTCGCCTCTGGGCAGCTCGAGGAGACGATCCACTCCACCTCCCTCTGTCTCCAGATGACGTTGGCCCCTACAGCGACGAAGCCTTTCTGACCTAAGCCTTTGTGGACTTGCTGGCCTGGCGCCCCAGCGACCAGCATGCCTGCCAGCGGCTGGAGTTGGACCGCTGCAAGGGACTGGCGCAGCAGCTGATAGCGGTAGACGTCAGCTATTTCGGCTGTTGTCATGCCGCCCAAGGTTAGCAGGTGAGTCAGCTCTGCCAAGCTGCCCTCTTTGCCCCAGGGTCCTCTCTTGGCTCGAATCTTGAAAGATCGATCGTGCACGATGCTCACATGTACAGCTGTGAACTTGCGACCATCGATCGCGAAGTCCTCTCTTCCCTGCCAGAGCTTCTCCGCTTGTGCATTGCGGAGGAAGGAAACAGTCACCGGGATCTCATCAGCACTCGCTATCTCGGATCTATACGGAGCCTTCCACATGATTGCTTTACTCTCTTGCACTGAGTCTAGCTTTCCGAGAGAGCGAAGCGATGGAGGGAGTACACCTGACTCTGTTCAGCGAGGACCCGAAGATCAGAGAGGCGCTCGCAGTCGAGTTGACAGCTGATCGCTTTGTGTCCAGAAATAAGTTGAAGAAGGCATCCAGGATGCAGAAGAAGGCAGGCCGCAGCGACGACAAGGCGATCAAGATCATCATCAAGTCGACGGCGGCATCTGGTCGCTTCACGAGGAAGGAGATGGAGGGGCTGTGCAACGGCGGCAACACGTCCATCGCAAGAGTCAAGAGAGTCTTGTTGGAAATCGCTAACAGGCTCGAGATCAAAGTGGAAGGCATCGACATGGAGGAGGATTTGAACACTAAGTCCTGGAACGGGTCCAAGCTATGCATCTTCCTCGGCTCCACGGAGGATGCTCGACGCATGATGAAGGAGCTGCCCTTCTCTCTAGAAGGCGCAGCCACCAAGCTCGAAGCAGTCGGCTTCGACAAGGAGCCTGAGGCGGCTCATTCTGGGGTCAAACCGCGGTAGTTTTCGTCCTATATTCTCAAGGGGGTGGTGAATGGGAAAATGGGGGTACACGGTGTGTGATTCGCGCAGGTTGAAATTTTGTACTGTTCAAATTCAAACCATATTCAAAACCGTGATTAAAATTGATTTTGGATGTTTAGCTCATCGTTTCCTGGTACCTTCTAAAATGTTTTAATTCTACACGCCTTCACCCACTACCCCAGCGCGTCTCCCCTCACCATACCTCTCTCATGTCGCGAAGCTCTTCTCTGCCGATCCTTGTCTTCAGTGTTTGAGTTTTGTGCGAGCATGTTTGCCCAAGTTGCAGTCACTCGCAGCAGGTGAGCCTCATCAACATCTCTCTTCGTCAAAACCTCTGTGCCGGTTGTCTGTTTCTATGGAAGGGGACGAGTATACCACGAACACACACGAGCATGAAGAGACTCGAAAGTATTTTGTGAGAGAAGAAGGTGAAAATGAACCCATTCCATCACACAGGTAGAGAGTTCTTCTGTGGATTGTTCATTTTCTAATCGTTGTGAACAGGTAGCAAAAGCTTGGCGATGTTGAGAACTAGGTTCTGAATGGTTGCAGCTGAAACGTATTACAAGATTCCAAGACCTTTATTCCACGAAGACCTTCATCTTCATGTGCTGGATGGAATATCATATTTATGAGAGATGCTTCACTGTGCCACATGACTTTTTCACATCATGTTTGAACTTCTCCGCCTTTGAATGATGCATCTCTTGTTGCATGACTTAAAAACACTTTGTAAAGATGCATAGTCTTGTATATATCCATGTCCACATGCTCAAAGCCTTGCCGCTTTATGACAAACAATGTAGACAACTCTTGAAGACAGCAAATCCAACGGCACGGTGTTGGATGGCAGTGCACCTGCAGCATGATGTGCTTCCATTCTGTTGTGCGCGCAGTTGGAGACATTCCATATGCTATTGTGGTTGTCATTATCATTGACTGGGAGTCCGTGTCAATTTGCTGGTAGTTCGACATGCTGAGATAAATGCTTCTAATGAATAAGAAATGTCAAATCACATAACACCTCCAACCTTGATTCTACATTCAACGCGGCCATGTCAGTCTGGTTGCAACGCACAATAGATTCTTGCATGCCAGCTTACAAGCTCAAGACTTGATCCCTGATATGATCTGAGGCTTAATTGGACGTCAAGCTCCGCCTTTAGGGAAGCAAAGCAAAGTTCATGCATTTCAGCAAATGTGCAAACATCCAAAGGACCTGAGTGAGGAGAGTTTGGAGAGAGGAGGGAAGATACTTCAACAAGAGCTTCGTGACTCAGAGTCAACTAATTGGCATATTTTAAAGAATCAAATATCATCAAACTTCAAGTTCTGAAGATGTGAAGCAACGATGTAACGAAGCGTACAGAAGACGTGCCAAGGAGGGGGTCAAGTGAGATGTGATTGCGCCTTAATTAAGCGGACTCGTCATGATCTTACAGATATTATCATTCAGTTCATGAGAGTCTTTAGATAAAGTACATTACTCTGAGAGCCCAGAAGTCTTGAAGAGAACATTGATGATACGATTGACTTAGTCGTCGGAAATGTAGGATGACGAACTCATGCTGATTGATCCACTTCTGCAAGATCACCAAGTAAGAATTTGTGCTGGATTCTTGATGCCAAGTGTACCTTGCGATCATCTTCTTACTCGGCGGTCCTTCATCTGTGCTCATGGCGGCAGCTCGTTGACCTTGCTGCTGTGCTCGCCCGGCGGCTCAGCATGTCGGTGTGCGATTGACGATGGGAATGATGGGGAGCGTTTCCCCACCCTGTCGATGAGGGTGGGTCATCAAAATTGTTTTAGATGATACAAATTAGCAGTTATGAACCGTTACACAGTACAACTGTTTGTACTATGTATTCGAATAAACAATTCATTGTCGTTAAAACAAATGGACACGCCAGTTCAAAATATGAAGCACCCCTACCACTGATATTACCGAGCAACACCCCTCAAAAACCAAGGGGTACACTACCACCGGTATCCTATGAGAACAGCATACGCATTCCTCTTTTGCGTTAAGTTCGACTACCGCGGTTTGACCCCAGAATGGCTGGTCAGCGGGGCACCAGCGACGCAGCGCAGCGACAGGCGGAGAGCGAGGGAGAGTGGCTGGAGTTCACAGACCTGGAGAGGATCACAATGGAGGCAGGACAAGGGAGTTCATGTCGCTGGGAGAGTGGGCGAAGACGCCAGAGGAGCAGGGAGTGGGACGCAACGTTCTCAAGGAGAAGCTGGGGAAGTGGCTGCAGAGCAAGCGCTGGACTCGCGTGCAAGGAGAGAGCAAGAAGGCAAGGAGGGGCAGCGCGTTCTCGCCACGGGCAACGGCAGCTGCTGAGCTTGAGCAGGAGGCGGAGAGCGACGACATAGAGCGTCGATCTCTTAGCTTCCTGTTCATAGCACTGAGTAAATTCGCAGAGATGCATGTGCTGGCCTGCTCGCTGAAGGCCCAGTGGACAAGAAGGACCGACTGCGGGTGGAGATGAGGGAAGATGACGAAGAAGAGGAAGACATGGAGGAAGAGCAAGGCGAGGGCGAGGAAGAAGACGGGGCGAGCCCGTACCGAGCTTGAGCTGAGCTCAAGGTAAGGAGAGAAGGTAGGAGGCGACCGAAGGCCAAGGTGAGGAGAGGCAACTCTCCTGACTGAGGCTGAGGAAGCTGAATGGAGGAGGAGTAGGTGGCGACCGAAGGCCAAGGTGAGGAGAGGCAACTCTCCTGACTGAGGCTGAGGAAGCTGAATGGAGGTAGAGTAGGTGGCGACCGAAGGCCAAGGTGAGGAGAGGCAACTCTCCTGACTGAGGCTGAGGAAGCTGAATGGAGGTAGAGTAGGTGGCGACCGAAGGCCAAGGTGAGGAGAGGCAACTCTCCTGACTGAGGCTGAGGAAGCCAAGAGAAGACAGCAGAAGTAGAACGATCAGTCCGATCTCTTCGAATTTCCGAAGTTCTTCAGCTTCTCTTCATGGTTGACATACACCGAGGAGATGCCCAGGAGAGTCATGGAGATGAAGGAAGTCACCTCGTTCGTCACTCCATCCAGTCATTGCTATAGCGTCGGGGGTGCATCCCTCAACAGCCTTGCAAGCCTGAGCTGTCCTACTGTTCGGATACCGCTTCGCGAAGCTCTTCACTTTCTCGACAAGATCAGCTTCGAGGACCGCGGCATCCACAAGCTCGCCCTGCGTGTATTGGCATGATCTCCGATACAGCATGTTGCGAACATTTTCATCATACTGAAGAACCATACTTAGAAAGCTATTTGAAGTATACAAACCTCTCGCTTGCAGCTTCCTTGGCGCCCTGGCGGCTTCCCCTACACCACGCGTGCAGCCATGGTGCCTTCGTGCAGCCATGGTGCCTGTGTGCAGCCATGGTGCCTACGTGCAGCCATGGTGCCTTCGTGCAGCCATGGTGCCTCTAAACCCTAAACCCTAAACCCTAAACCCTAAACCCTAAACCCTAAACCCTAAACCCTAAACAAGGTCGCTTGCAGCAAACCAAATTTCTGAGAAGCCTTGAAACCTAAACCCTAAACCCTAAACCCTAAACCCTAAATTCAAGAAAAAATTCATTTTCTTGAAAAGAAAAAATTCATTTTTTCACACCATAACATTAAGCTTTTTAGAATATTTACGTTACACATCAAATATTCTAAAACGCTCACCATTATGATGCCAAAAACTTCACTGGGGTGAAACCGCAAAATATATAACACACGCTAAGGGCCCGCGACCCCGGCCGGTTCCCCCCGCTCTCGCGGGCCTCCCCCTCCGGGCCGGGTCTCGCCGCGTTCCCCGCGTCACGGCCTGTGGTTCGCACGGGTTGGTATGGATGCTTAGGTGTCAATGATCCTTCCGCAGGTTCACCTACGGAAACCTTGTTACGACTTCTCCTTCCTCTAAATGATAAGGTTCAATCAACTTCTCGCAACCACTCACCTTGCGGCAAATGGCCAGCAATCCGAAGATTTCACCGGACCATTCAATCGGTAGGAGCGACGGGCGGTGTGTACAAAGGGCAGGGACGTAATCAACGCGAGCTGATGACTCGCGCTTACTAGGAATTCCTCGTTGAAGATTAATAATTGCAATAATCTATCCCCATCACGATGAACTTTCACAAGTTTACCCAGGCCTTTCGGTTCAGGGTCGAGCTCGTTGCGTTCATCAGTGTAGCGCGCGTGCGGCCCAGAACATCTAAGGGCATCACAGACCTGTTATTGCCTCAAACTTCCATTCATTAAACACAAATGGTCCCTCTAAGAAGCCCTCGCCAATCAATATTCGCGATGCTAGTTCGTTGGCTGACCGAGGCTTAAAATTCTCGGGCACTTTACCAGTGAGCTGAAGACTGCATCAGGACTTTCACTGAGAGTGAATCTTGATTCACCGGATCTGTGCCAATGGGACGACGAAACAAAAGGATGTGCGGCTCCGGCCTGCGAAATGGAAAGATCATCCATTGCCATCACCAAAGAACTTGTACTTGTGGATCGCGTAATGCTCCCATCCCCGTGAATCAAAGGACATTGAAAAGCTCAAGGGCTCGCGCGTGGACCAAGGGGGACAGATTTCTCGACGTTTGGACGACTTGGCGAACCTGCAGAGCCTGAAGGGGAAGAACTTGGAGGAGGCGCTGCATGGGTGAGTTGCGGGCCTGGAGGGAGACATGAAGCTGCTGGGGGAGAAGATGAGCGCTCAGGACGAGAGGACACAGTTGCTGCAGCAGGTCGCTGCACGCGTCGAAGAAGCCGAGCAGAAGGGCAAAGTGCAGGAGGCCTCGTTAGATGGGCTGCGAACTTCCACCGACGAGGATCATCGCCCAGCAGGCAGCAATGGATAGCACGAGGAAAAGGGAAAGGTTGGAGCGGAGCACTTAAATAAAAGCCTTCAAGCCCAGCAGGAGCCAGGCCCAGTGAGCACTGCCACGGCGGCAAGAAGGAGAACGAAGATCTGTGAGAGGTTTATTGACCGCCGCGTAAGATGCCAGGGCGGCCTGAACAGATGTGCGACGGTAATAACTATTCGAAACGCTTACTTAGCTCATCAACAATCTTACTTGTCTTCCCACGGGTTAGATCCCAGATGCTGCACAGGTAAGTCACTGTGCTGTTCATTCCTTCCGAAACAAGAATACGCACCGAGGGGCATCATCTCCAATGACTTCGAGGAGGAACTCATACTTACGTTTCTTCATAACGACGCGCTGAGGATGGAGAGACTTGGGGGCAGGCATGGGCAGCAGGGAGGAGGCGTGCGCGAGAGTCGTGGGGGGGGCAAGGGCGATCAGGAAGTCGGGAAGTGTTCAGGACTGGAGGTTCAGGGGGTAGGTTGTTTTGTACGTAGGTACCTCTGGTCTGTGTACAAGGAGGGGGTACAAATCAGCAGGGGGTAGAAGACAAGCCCCAAAGAGGAGGCAGCAGAGAAGTACACTATTTTTTGATAAGCTAGCAACATGCAAATCACGAAGCTTAGACACAGAGGAAGGAAGATGAGGAGACATTATTCATGGGAGAGACTCCAATATTGACTCGGAGCAGGGGTGGTATTTCGTAGACAAGGGGGTAGTCCAAGAGTCTGTCCAGGGACGGCTGATGCATTTGAACATCTTTGTAGGAATACGGAGCCCGGCCGATCATGTTTTTCAGACAAGAACAAGATAAAACCTCATCATGTCCGGGCAAGCAGTGCAGTTCAGTTCCCTGCGCCTACAGGTTCTACAAGCTACCGCCGGAGCTCCCTCTCTCCCTCCCTTCCTTCCTCCCTCTCTGTCTGTCTGTCTCTCCGAGGCTCTCTCACCGCCACAAACACATCACCATGGATCGAGATCAAGCTTGTTCGAAGTAGAAACTTCCTTCAGCACTGCCAGTCACATCAGCACTGCTCTCAGAACGCGGCTCCGGACCCAGAACGGTTCGTTATGACTCCTGCCGAGTCAGTGAGGTGTGCACGCCAACTGGACTTGGAGTCAAGTGGTAGTCGAGCTCACTGAGCACTGGTAGTCAGGTGTAGCGCATCATCATACTGATGTGTTGATGACAATGGATCTCCAAATACATAGAGATCAATGATCGCCAATGGGTGAGACAGTGGACCTAGATCACCCTTAGTATCACAGGTATTGATGGCTGGCAGGAGCAAGAGCAGTGACGTATGCTGCTCATGACAACGAAGATTGGCGGCCATCAGGTGTCATCCTCTTGAGGTGATATTTGATAAAGGCACCTTTGATGCAGGAGAAACAAGCTTGACAGCTGAGCTGAGGTATCATGCTTAAATGCTGATGGATCAAAGGCGATCACTGCTGTACCAGGGTATGGTATCTTCAGTCATCTCGCTCGAATGAAAGGGGCAAAGTGTTGTATCCATGAGGAACTGGAACCACGGATACTCGTCAGATACTCCGCTGGATACTCCTTACTATCTTCTGCTTCCCTATCTTCTTCATCCTTACTTTCCTCGTGACGTCAACAATCTCTGTGTTGTGTATACAACACAAAGCAAGAGATGCTGAGAGAGATCCTCTGAATCCAATGAGTTGCAAATGAGAAGGAAGCGGGGAACATTCAGATCGGATCGAGAGAAAGGGAAATGAGTCAGCGATAGTTTCCTGATGCTGGTCTTAGGTGGAGAGAGGGTCGCCAAGCAATGCTTGCAACAGCAGCAATAGCGCAGCCGCAGAGACAACACAAGTAGCTGGGAGGTGACCTCACCTTCTCCAGACCAAGTGCTGGGAATACAACCCCTCATCAGTACTTCGAAGACGCAAACTTCCAACAAGGGGACTACTCTCTGACTCATGTTGTACCACCCCATCTCACTGAGCCCCTTGGCCAGAGGAGCCTCGCGAGATAGCCGAGAGAGTTGCTGCACTATCTCAACTGCTACACCCAGGTGCTATCTGAGAGACACTTGTTTTACGGTTTACTCTGATTACTCCTTCTTGCTGACATTATTACTCTTTGTTTGATAGATATATTCAACCTCGATCGTTTGATCGTGGTTCTCCTGCTTCTTCGTCTTCTCCACCCTTCTCTTCCTCCACCACGGATCCCAGTTGGTCCTCGCTCATCGCCCGGCTCTAGTACGATGACTTGTCGGAACATATCTCAGAGTCAGCAAGCAGTGGTCGTATGGAGGCGGTCTAAAGCTCAAACGACAGCTCAGGCATCAGAGCGTGGTTTGCAAGCGATATACGCTGCAATCTTGTCCTTGTTGGTGGGTCTTGGATACGGACGGTCGCAATATCGCCCTTCAGCTCCTCCTCTGATGTCTCCAAGAGCATCGTCGAGAGGTCGACCAAGACCTGTTGATCGACTGGCCCTAACGGTGACCGTCAGCTTCCATGGTGGTCCTGTCGATGTCGCTGAGCTCCAGCCATCCAGTGTCTTGCTGCTCCCCCTGGGGCTCCTAGGCTTGCTCCTCACTCTCCTCCTCATCCTGAGAGCTCAGCTTGAAACCCATAGCTTCGAGCTTGCAACCGGTCGGTGGGCCTTGTGTCACATGCGCCGGATTCTTTGCTCAGTACGCGTGACCCGGTGCGGCCCGATTTGCCGCCCGGCGGGCCGTCGATGGACGGGCCCGTGACCCGGTCACCGTGTGGCACCACATTACGGCTCCGGCGACCGGCTCCGGGGGGCCGCATCACTGAACCGTGCTCTACTTGGCTCAGGCTTTATGGTGAAACGAGGAGACGCAATATGAGCGTTGCTGTGGTTGGATTGCTGTGTCGGTTCAGGTTGATCATCAAAGTCAGGAATAACTTCACACTCATTTCCTCTCAACAGCTTGCTGCTGCCAAGAGAAAACTTGAGAGGAGGAGGGCCTTCAGAAGCACAACACTCTACCGCTGATTCCATTTTGCATCGGATCGCCCAAGCACGGCAGATCGGTCAACCCATCCCACTCGCAAGATACAATGAGGCCTTGTATGAGTGCTGGAAGAAAGGAAGCTGGAAAAATTGCCTGGAGCTGTATGTCATCGAATGCTCGCACCCTAATTTGATCATCGCTACAGGTACCAAGAGATTCTTGCGGAGGGACTAAAACCCGACAAATATACCTATAACGCTGTTGGATCTTATCAGATGACTTCATCTGTGAGTTTTTGATACAGGTCATTGGATCGTGTGCAAAAGGGGGACTATATGAGCAAGCCGTTCGTCTCATTCGCGACATGCAAAATGAAGGAATAGAACCAGACGAAGTCACATACAATGCAGTCATAGGATCGTTTGCCAAGTATCTAATGGACTCTTGCGATCTGAGCATTAACATGAAACTCTAGAGGTGGACTCTGGGAGCCAGCTTTGCGATATCTGAATGAGATGAAAATTCAGGGCCTGAAACCGGACAGGTAAGAATTTGACAAATAGCTCAGGCTGGCTAACATATACCTCCGTTGCATGTGTCGATTCATTACAGCCTGTCTTTCAATTCTGCCATGGCTGCCTGCGCAGCATCCGGCGAGCTTGCAAAGGTCATTTGCAATAGGCAGAGTTGTGTCAATAACGATGTTACCAGGCAAAGAAGCTGTTCGAGGAACTAAAAGCTTCGGGTGTGAAGCCAGATACAACAAGGTGCTTAAATGATTGAATCCGCTATCTGGTATATTAATGGATTCCAAGCTTCAACGCGCTTCTGTCTGCATACTGCGCAGCAGGAGAATGGGAACGGGTGCGAACATCTGTGGAACATTCGTACAGGTTTTGATAAAACATGGCAGGTGATAGAAGAGGCTGAAAGCACTCTAAGGTTTGAGTTCACTGCCTACATTTTTCAAATGACAGGTTCATCGAAAAGTGTGAATCCGGATATCACAACAGCCAATTGCATCATGATAGCTCACGTGATAGTGACGAAATGCTGGCTCGTTAATGCTGATGTTGGATTTGCAGGCAATGCTGCGACAATGGGACAAGGAAATGAGATGATGCTCTTCATGCTCAGCTCATCAGCTCACACCAATTCTTGCAGGCTGTCACACATTACGAAGCAATGAAGAGTATTCATTGTGCGGGAAACACTACCTCATGTTGAGTGTCGGGCAGGGAAGGGTTTGCAACCTGACGTTCTCACCTACAATGCATTGATAACAGCATTGGCCAACGGAGGGGAAACAGACCGAGCTCTACAGGCAAGTACTCACGTCTTCACAACATTCTGACGATGATGGTTCAGTTGGCAAGGTCGCTGGAATCAAAAGGCATTCAACCAAGTACAGAAACTATAGAGCTGAGGAACACCTTGGAAAGGGGAGAATGGTTCAAGGAAGAAGCAAATGTCATAAACAGTCCTTCACAACGACATTCTGACAAGATTTTTGGGACAGGTGGATGAGGAAGGGAATGTTCATTTTCGATAAAAGGCAGAAGCAAGTCAATGCTCTTACTCGCCGTGCCGCATTGAGCATTGATACCAATGCATAATTAGTAATTTGCAATGCTTGCACTAGGCGTTCGGATTTCGATCATACAAGGTTGAATGGTTCAAATGTTACAAAGTTAAAATCCCTGAAAAAAAGGATAAAATCAATTCAAATCGTCACCAACATTCACAACAGAAACCTCTTGAGTCAGTCTTCTCAGTGCGCTTCGACTACTTGTTCGTTGGCTGACCGAGGCTTAAAATTCTCGGGCACTTTACCAGTGAGCTGAAGACTGTATCAGGACTTTCACTGAGAGTGAATCTTGATTCACCGGATCTGTGCCAATGGGACGACGAAACAAAAGGATGTGCGGCTCCGGCCTGCGAAATGGAAAGATCATCCATTGCCATCACCAAAGAACTTGTACTTGTGGATCGCGTAATGCTCCCATCCCCGTGATTGTTGAACTCCAAGATTTCTCCACTCTGTCTCAGACAGAAGTTTGTTCTTTGGACACATCCTTGCCACTTCAGAAGGGAGAATCACATGCCTAGGAAACAGAAGTCAAAAAACAGTCGGTATCATCCAACATTAAACCAACCTGTATTCATACATATCGTCATTATACTTCTCACTATATTGAATTGTCCTTGGCATCGTACCTGCACTGATTGATTATTCCATGCCAAGTTTTCAAACTCAAATAACATCAATGATGCTACAACTGTTGATACTACGCAAGATCTAGGTTAAGAAACATTAACATAACAACCTTGAAGGACAGAATTGGAGTTCCAGATATCCACTCTACATACAACACATATACCAAAATGATATGAGAGGTGATACAAAAGCACACCATGGTCATACGAAGAAGAAAATGGTCACAGAAAACACAGCACTCAAGTAACGGAAAAGGGTTTGCGAACGACAAAAACAGGGATGCTCCATTTCCAAGTGTCTCCGATACTTCATCATTGTCAGGTCATCATAAATGATTCAACACTAGCAGGAGAGCAAGCTGAGCACAACAGACAATCAGATTTTATCACAGATATTCCGGTAGTGTCATTCAGCACACAGTTGATAGCGAGTTGGATATACACGCGGTATCTGGATTTCGTGCTTTTGTTGAGGTGAAGCATTTCGACACTTAGTCCAGCAGGGGAAGCAGAAGAATATTTGGAGTTGCAGCACAACATCAATTCAAACATGTCAAGAACAGGATGAAACGGGGAGCATGGAAACTAACGACGCAACAAGACTGGAAAAAATCGACATGCGGAAGAGATGAAGGATGGATTTTAGAAAGCAGTATGCATGGCCTGAAAGGAAGAATATCCCAAAGAAGGAGAGATAGAAAGGATAGCATGCAGTATCAGAAAAAGCATGTGGTATTGTTAGGAGAAGGGAGAGAAGAATGGATTCAGAGCCACATCAATCACGCGGAGCGCATAAGGCAGGGAGGCGGGAGGGGCGGCGGCAGCTTTGAATTCCTTCCGATTTAGTCTACTCTGCAAGCTCGGAAAAGAGGGGGTAGGGGTGATAAAAGATGTTTTGTACCACGGGTATGGTAAGTCATGGGGTTCCTGTGCAACATAAGGTTAGATGGGTAAAAGAACAACTGTCCATGTTTGAAGATTGAGACATGTGGAAAATATATTATACTCGTAATTGATTTAGTTGTTCTCCTTGATATATGGGGTGAAAATGGTTGTAGCAAGAATGGTTGGGGGGTAGTAGTACTCGTGTATGTGCAAGTGGTAGGGTAGTCATCGACAAGTTTGTAAACTGAGGGTAGGTAGTATCTGGGGTGGGTGGCCTTTGTTGGTTTTTTTTTTCATGAAACGGTAGATTTTGATTTTAAAAATCGATACTGAATATTTGAAACTTAAGTAAAACCCTTTCAAGTTTGAAAGATGGAGGATGAATTGAGGAATTGAGCCACGCAATCAAAACCGGGCCCGCCTGAGAACTAAGGCCCGCCGCCCCGCCGACTCGCCGGACTCGGGTGACGCCCGGCCACTGCCGCCGTCCGAGGCACCACTCAGTACTGAGTGCTACCGTACCGCCTGTGGCCGCGGCCCGCATGCCCCGGCGGGGCCCGTGTGACGGTGGGCCCGTACGACGGTACGCGCCACGGTCACGGCTGAGCGCGGCCCCAAGGCACTCATGAGTCACTCGCTGCCCGGCGGCCCGGGGGCCCGGCCCCCGGTACGACGGTACACCATGCAGGCTCCGGAACCCGCCGTTAGACTCTTCCGAGTTCCAACTTCGGAACTTCGGCCGGAACTTGCCGCAGTGCCGCTCTCTTGGGTACTGGGCACCGTCTGAGCCGGGCTGACTCGGAGTGAGTCGCGGACTCGACTCCCGACCCCGGGCGGCCGGCACTCAGAGGGCCGAGTCCCGGCCCGGCACCGCGGCTTGAATCATCCGAGTCCCGCGGCGCGCGGCCGGGTCGGCGTTGGACGGTCCGATCAAATGGCCGGCGGCGGGCGGCCCCTGGCCGGGCGGCCCCGGGCCGCCACTCGGACTCGCTCGCCGCAGCCTGCCTGTGCTGCCGCCAGTGCACTGTGCGGCGCCCGGGCCCCGAGCCCGGGCCCGGCGGCCCGCCACGGCCCGCGGCGCTCACTGAGTCAGTCGCCCCGGCGGCCGCCGCGAGTCGCCGCCGGGGGCCGGGCTCCGACGGCGGCCGGGCCGCGGCGCCGGACTCCCCGGACCGGGCCGGGTGACCGCCGACGGCGTGATCACAGTGCCAGACACCTCGCCGGGACCGTGAGTACGGTATTGAATGACGCCGTGACACTAACTGACTTTGATCACTGACGGTCACCAGGCTAATGCCCCGGCGGCGTCCGACGGTAAGGTACGGAAGTACCGAGTCACGGTCCGAGCCGCCGGGTACCCCCGTCGGACTCGACTCGATCCGGAAACTCAACGGCCCCGGGCAGGGTACTACGCCGGTACGGGGTGAGACGGCGCCGGTCACGCCGTATCATAGTATCCGAGTCGGAGGCTCAAGTACAGTACCGGCAGCGTACCGTGAGGCAGTACCGTACCGGCGTCAGTATCATGGAAGTACTAGGGCCTAACTTAGTGATTGCGGATAGCGGCCGGGGACCTGCCGCCAGCCGCTGAGCCCGGCCGCCCCCGGGGGCCGGGGCCAGGCCCCTCCGACCGTACCCGGGCCGGGCCGCCGCGCCGCCCCGGCGGCTGTCAGTGCGATCCCGCCGAGTTGACCTCGAATCTGATTTTTGAAAGCTTGTCATGGAGGATCGCCGAGTGTTGTGGCATGTGAGATGATGCGCAGAGTCTGTCACCCTGACCTTCCGATGTCACCTTGGCGTCACTTTCATGGCTTCTCTGAGATGGCATGGCGATGTTCACTTCCTCGCAGGAGTTTGAACTTCAGTCCAAGGACGTCGATGTTTCTTCTACCGTTCAAGCGATGTTACGGCAAGGTCTCCCTTTGCATACGCACGAGGAGGTAAGGTTGTAGTCTGCGGCCTAATATAAGTGATTGCTACATCAGTTGGCAAGTTTAGCTCTTGATCGTCCTGATCTGCTGGCCTTGGAAGTAGCTTTCCTCGACGACATACGAAGAAATTCCGAGTTAGAGGTCAAGGAATTCACAGCATTTGTGGCTTGATTCTTGATGCGATCTGTTGACAGAATGACGGTAGCAGTAATTCCAATGACATATCCACATATCTAGCTTGGATGCTCTCGTTTTCGCAAAAAGTCTGCAGCGTTGACAACGAGTTGAAAGCTGGTGAACTCTGTGTTTGTCACTGCTTTGAGTCAAAAGTAATCTGACATCATCCGGTGGCATCATTATAGAACATTCGTCAAAAAACGAGCTATCTGTATTATTTTCCACACAATTTGCAGACGACAGCCGCGGTATCAAAATATCTTGATTGATTGATCCAACACAATTCGTTTGGTGACCTCTCCAAGTTTCTGTAGAAGTTCAACAAGAATTTACACCTGAGCTCGAAATTTCGCAACGAGGGTCGTCGAAAAACCTTTCCTACAACGATGAGGTAATCAATATCTCATTGTTAATTTTTGGTTTTCACTTGACTTGATGCAGACGGATGAAAATGAAATCTTCATGCTCAGCAGGTATTAGACCAGTTAGCGTTTGAGCTTTCTTTCACTAGTAGTTGTCTCAGATCCTCGCAAGTGAAGGCTAGGTCCTCCAGCGGTTTCGGCGTGGAGCATGCTATCGCATTTATTGACTCGCTCACATTGGGAGAAAGCTCGCAATTTGATGAGGACAAGGACGATCAAAGCTTCCGCTCTTTTGATGATGTAAATTCCAAGTACTCAATTCTCAAATGCAGAAAGAGCAGCCCAATTCATCTGTGGAGAAACTGGTCTATATATTGCGATGGTCACGTGCAACATTCTTTCGGAAGCGCAAAGCACAAACGACACGCATTCTATCTTTGGAGTCAACTTGCGCAAGAACTAGTTGATGACAGGGAGGCCTCTGTATACAAGGTAATGTCTTGTCAGTTGGCACTCATCCTTAGGGAAACAATCGAAAATTGGTTGGAATGGCTTGCATATCAAAAAATCAAGGAATTATGCAGAAACATGAAAGTTCCTTTAGCGTTAAATCTCAGCACGGCAAGAGACTTAACGATGAAATGTCGCAAGAAATACGGACAAAGGTGCTCGCAGCTTTCGTTTCCCTAAGACGACCAAATCTCATCAAATCTTTTCAGGTGCTGCGTTGAGAGATTTGCAAGTTTTGTCTACAAGCGATTGTTGAGATGCATCATGAAAAGTTGGAATCATTTCGTCGAGTTCAAAACGATGCTTCCAGAAGATTCTCGTGTCGTGCGCATGAAACATTTAAAAGAGTTCCGACAGTGTTCTTCAACTATTCGGTGATGATACATGATGAGGTTGGCATGATGAATCGATCACTGATCGTCTGCAGGCAATGGGCAAAATTGAGACAGAACAACAAAAGGGAAACAAAATCCGCCGTGCCAAGGAGGTCTCCCAAAGAATATGAAAGGGTAAATTGAGTGGTGTCTTTAAAACTTAAACTTATTGAACCCTGATGTGGGGGATGCAGGAAGAAATCAAAGATTTTTTGCCATCACAAAAGCATCCAGTAACTGTAATGTCGCCACATGGCACCGGGCGCTTGCATGGGCATTTTTCTCGAGTTCAACGCTTAGGAGACAGTTTCGAAGTGGTGGCCGATTCAAAAATTCGAGGGTTATTGCCATTTGATTTATTCCTTGTGCCATTTAATTTCTACCTTTTCATCAGGCGTCTATTCTCGAATTCGCCAAGAAGAACATCAAATTCAGATAAAGCTGCTACGACACCATCTGGTGAGATGATGATTTGAAGTCACAAAGAAGTGAAGGCCAGGACAGTGTTCGATGGATCTCCAATCACGCGCAAAAGCTCGTTGCTGAGAAGAGGTATCAGCACGTTGGGCATGAGAGCGATCAAATACCTCACTTGCTGCTGGCAGTAGAGCAGATCTCTTCAGATCATTCCAGTAGAGAAGGGCCTACCGCCACGATCAGGCTATTGAAAGATCTTTTTGAGGAGGTGTTTCCCTGCGCCTTTCAGTCTGTGATTTGATCAAGTACGTCAGACACAGGACGCTCTTTGTCGCAAACAAGATCAACTGAGCAATATTCTATCGAACAACTACCACGATGCTTGCCGGGTTCAGAAAAAAAACCGCATTGCTAGTTCTGATAGTTTTTGCAGACCGTCGCGTTCTATTCTTGGAGGGACGAAGTGCATGACTTTCATCGATGCTATACTTTTTGGAGAGATCGTGGAAGGTTATTCAATCTCATTTGATGATCAAGTCTAACGGCTCTTCCGAACGGTTCAGGGTTTGGAGCGCGGCCTTCTCTAGACTGCACAGGCACTACTTGAGGCAATTTGAGGTCAAGAATATTTTTTCGAGCTGGGCAGACTTGATCTATGCCAAGCAAGATATGGTAAGTTAGGCCAGAAACTCTCGACGCATTCTAACGGCAATTACAAGCGACTGAGGCAGGGATCGGAAACCCTCCAGAGCATATCTGATATCATCTCAATTTGGTCTAATTCGGTGAAAATCAGCGTAGAAGACCGAGAAAGAAATGAAGAACAGTTCAAGGTTAGTTTGCTGACGATGAAAGAAGAGGCTGACTTTGTTCATGCTTTAGGTCAGGGTGGAAGAGGAAAGATTGAGGAGGAGGATACTCCAATGGAAGAAGCTCCTTGACGTGCATGACCGAGGGGCTTCAAGGTTTCTTGTAACGTGGTCAAAAACATCTCAATGACCTTCTGATGGCAGGAAGCATGTCACAAAACAGATGAAGTTCCGAGCCTCGAGATGGTATAGTTAGAATGAGCGCCTGAACAAACCGTTGGTTGTTATATCCTGATGAATTTTCATTTTTCTACTACCTTGATTGGCCCACAGCAAATTCATGGAATAACAGTAACTGTTGGCCGTTATCGGTGAGCTACTCACTGTTTGTATGATTCCGATTGATCGTGCTCAAACGGAAGCTAAGTCCATTTTCAATCGAACACAAAACTGACTCACGGCAACTCCTCTTCCATGGCCCTCCCAGTGAGTCTTGGGCAGCTACTCGCATCAAGAGCTTGAGAGGCTTGTCCTGTAAGAAAGCTCGCCTCTGCCAATCCCCAGAGCTGAGCAAATAGATGGCAGTGATACCGCTGTGATATATTGCCAGGCTTAAGTCAGGGGGAGGGGAAGGGCAACGGCTCAATGAATTCAATTGCATTTCGGGGGACCGATCGGGAGGGTTACGTAGTAGAGTGAGATTGCTGACCGTAGTCAGTGGGATGTCGCAGGTGATGTTGATTCACTGAGTTACGGTAAGCTAACTTGCAACTTGAAATCCTCCCTTGAGAGGAGTAGAAGTAGTTTGAGTTTGATGAGTAAAGTGACTCAGTGAGACTTGGTAGTTTCAAGTAGTCACGTAGTAGTAGCAGTACTAGTTGTTAACTTAACTTTGAGTAAACGAGTGTAGTAACCTCTCATTCCTTGACTTTTTTTTTCATGACCCCTCGTCCTCAAGTACATGTGTGAGCACTGAGTTGACGCGATGCGGAGAAAGGTCGTGCCTGGGACGTGAGAGAGGAGGGAGATGCTGAGGGCAGCAAGAGCACGTCAAGTGGGACACGTGTACCTGCTCTTGCTTGCTGTGTGTTCCATCTGTTGCTCGCAGTCCTTGGCTTCCGTATGTGGCGATGGCATCATTGAAGGTCACGAAACTTGTGATGACAAAAACAACCGAAGCCATGATGGTTGCAGCTCCCTCTGCACTCTTGAGGCAGGCTTCAGCTGTTTTGACTTTTGGCTTCATGGAGTTGATGCTATTGCAAAGAGCAGTCAGAGTGACGTTTTCTTGAATACAACATGCAGTGTTGTACATGGAGACGGAATAAGAGTTGGTTCTGAACAGTGCGATGATGGCAACTTCTTGAGGAACGACGGCTGTTATTGCAACATGTCATCAGCACCTGGGGTTTGCACGGTTGAAAATGGTTGGGCGTGCGATCGTGTCTCCGATGTGTCTTCTTCTGTATTTTATCGAACCTCCTTAGCGGATGTATGCCACTGTTCCATACACGAGGAGTCAATGTCCTCGCTCGTGGCTTATTCGCCAGCATTACAATCATTTCATGCGTTCGGTCAGGCTGGCGCGAGTGCTCAAGTCGGCTGTTCCTCTTGTACATGTGATAGTTTCGGCACTTGCTCCAAGGCACAACTGTGCAACTGGAAGCAATCCTGTAACGGACATGGATTTTGCAACTTTGCTGGTCAGTGCGTTTGCTTCGGTAATTTTACTGGCCCCTCTTGCGATAGATGCATTTGCGATCACTATGGATCAAACTGCTCCAAGTTTTGCAGTGCCGCCATAACTTGCAGCGGTCAAGGCTATTGCAATTCAGGCGGAGAATGTGTTGGCTTGCCGCTCTGTCAAGGTACGAATGTGAACGCGCCGGTTTGTGGAGATGGCAAGCGCAACGGTGCAGAAGAATGTGATGATGGCAATACCATTGATGGCGACGGATGCTCTAAGCAATGTACCATTGAGTCAGGATTCTTGTGCCTGGGAGGCTGCCAAGAAACTGGGGATGTTAGACGCCGGTACGGAGAGTGCCAGAAGGATAGCTGCATTCCCGTGGCATGTGGGTGGCATCTGATGTCGAGTCAAGCACCAGCCACGTCTAACTCGAGTCAGGGCGCTCTTGGGGCACTTGATATAGTGGCAGGACAGTTTCTTGCCAAAGAAATATCCCACTCTCAGCCCTTGGCTGGCTCTTTGAACATTTTGATGATGAGATTGCGTTTCAACATCCCTGTTTGGGGTTGTCTGCAACAAACATCCACCATTCTTGTACCTGTAACGAATAAGCCGTGGTTGAACGTTTGGCAGGAAACCACAACTGACTGTAAGACCCCCTTGTCCAAGGCAACCATTGTCATATCTGGTTTGCTTGGTGGAACAAATGAAGATGATCCAGCACTTGCCAAGGAAGGATTGATTTCTGTACGACGAGGGTGTTCGAGTGGAAAGATGGACTGCGAAGCAAGGTGAGCATAGTGACGAGAAATACTAGAAGCGCTGACTGATTGGGCAGGCCGTCGGAAATCTTTGGGATAGTCGTATCAAACCCTGATGGAACATTTACTGAGAGATATGGTGTCGGGCGCTGGGACGACACTTTGAAACAAGTAAGCTTTTCTGTGTTGCAAGATGTTTCAGAAAACGAAGACATATTTCTGCAATTCACCGTCATGAACGGGAACCAGCAAGTGTCTCCAAACATCCGGATAGGCATGAGAGGCATCGAGATCCCGGACGAGCCTATGCTCAAGTTGCCTCTCCTGCTTAACGGACGGACTTCCATGCCTCTCGAGATTTTTCCCAAGCCAAGCAGCAGAAGATTCACCGACCAAGATAGAATGGACGATTCGACGAATCTTGCTGTCGATCTTTCAGACCATCTGGAGGAGGAGAGGCATGAAGGCAGTCATCAGCACGACGACCAGCCTCGTCGCAGACTTCTCGCCAATTGCGCTGGCATTTGCTCCAACACCTTCTTGTCACAGACAAGTGTAGTGGCAGGCACTGAAAACACCATCACCGTCAGTCTCTACACCTCTTTCACTTTGGTTGCCATGACAAGAATCACGTTGGAAGGAGTCTTTCCAGCGTTGGTCCCACGGTTGTTTGCTGTCACTACTTCATTTCAATGCGCACAGAGTTTGCCATTTGGTCCTCAAGACTCTCTCCTTCCCTCCCCGCTTCTTGCTTCCTCGGCCCCTGCATACGATGCCAGGACCTTGCAAGCACAACCTGGGTTCTCGACTGCAAGTGGATACTTCAGTGCGGAACATCGAGACACCGCACATTTCTCGTTCCAGCAGAGGTTTTACGACTACGACGAGCTCAAGTTCGAGGTGTTCTGGTCGTTCAACGAGTCGAAAACTCTGCGGCAGAGGTTGATCGACGCCTCCACGAGGAAGGAGGGCGAGGCTGTGGTGTGGACGGTGAGAGACGGGAAGGGAAGGTTTGTCAAGACGCTCCGGGGGGCCTGGAGGTTCTCAAGGAACCTTCCCTACAGGCAGGATGGAGCTGACTTCACACTGAGTAACATCTTCGATTCCCAGCAGCCCTCCAGCACAGGATTTTCACCTGACGATGGCGCTTGGGGGGCTGCAGACAGCCTGGTGGACGGTGCCTGGGACATCACGGACGTCGTAAGTCAGACCAACGCGGACCCGTCGCAGAATCCTGCCATCGGAAGCGGAGGAGATTTCTGGGGGCACGGCAACTTCAACCAGCAGAACGACTTCGGTTGCCAGGCGGGCTCTCTCTACAACAACGTGACGGGAGCTGCGATCAAACCCTGCTGCCCCACATACTTCATGGGAGGTAAAGACACAGCCATCTACTCCGAGGGCATCAGAAACGAGATGTACCTCGTCCCCTGCGAGTCCTGTCAGTGCCTGCAAGACGTCTGCACCTACGGTCTTAGCCGTCAGGACACGTCCGTGTCAAGTACGGCAACTCGTGATGACACTTGTGGGCTCCTGAAGCCATCGGGCAATCAGGCCAGCAGCTTTGACTGGTACCTCTCCTTCGACAGCACAATCGCGACAGAGGTCAAGGAAGATCAGAACGGAGGAGGACAGTCTTCTCCCTACTCCTTCACCTTCGCTATCAAAAACTCTCGTTCCGTAAGCTCAAACCTTGTCACCCTCCAAGTTTTCGCCCCTCCTAGCGACAGCCAAGCTGCTCAGAACTTCTCGTTTCAGTTTCCCCAAGACTCGCTTGTGGTGAAGGAAGGCAACTTTCTGAATCAAACGATAGTACAGTCGTCGAGCCTGCCGGGGGGTTTGAATCGTCTCAGCGTCTCTTTCACAGCTTCTCCTCCTCTTCTGTCGGGATCCACCGTGATAGTCGACAGCCTGTTCTCGCCCTCAATGCTGCTCGCCAACGTCTCGGACTGTGAGGGCGATACAGGCTCTTTCACAGCCTCCTGGAGTGACGCGTCAGCCATCAAGCATTCATCGTTGCGACAGGAGATCTACGCGGAAGAGAAGCACGTCCTCTCCATCATCTGGGCCTTCCAAAGCTCCACGACCTGGCAGGAGAGAATCGCTCGAGCGCAGAGTGCAAGAGGAGAAACTGTTGTGTGGTACGTGGTTGACCCGCAGAATCCCAGCAGCGTGCTGGCAGTGAAGAAGGGAAGGTGGAAGGTGTCGAACTTTCAGAGCTCGTCGGGCGCTTGGATCCTGCGCAACATGTGGGGAGCAGGAGAAGGGACTATTAGCAGCACGCAGATCACTTCAGACTACTGGGGCTGGACGCCTCAGAACTTTCAGAACAACATTTACAACTGTTTCTACTGGAGGAACGGGCAGAAGAATGAGGTCAGGAGGGTTCGCAATCACATCTGGATCGAAGAGTTTCCCTTGGTCACACGGAGCACCGGAGCCTTCCAGCTGAAGAGAACGCCTGGCGGTTCCCTTATGTTGGCCCTTCCTGCTCCCTCCTCCTTCTCCTCCTTCCAGCACTTCCAGTTCAACTTGACCGTCCTCAATCCGATGAGCTCCAGTCCCAGCGCGCAGCCAACGATCGCGATCTTGGGATGCTACCAAGTCGCTGCTCTTCCTCTGCTCCTGCCCGCCGCCTTGAAGGATAAGCCGCTGGTAGTTGACAGCCCCGCATACGTCACGTCCAAGGCTGGTCAATCAGCGTCGTACCCGAGCGCCATCAACACACTGACGGTGACATTGCAGCTCAATTTCCATCTCTACGACTTCACGTCATGCTTGTTCAAGATCTCTAACTTGCTGGGAGCCAAGAGACCGTCAGGCGTGCTGCCTTTCGTGTCCTCAGGCTCCAACTTGTTCTCTTACGATGGGAATGTTCCTGCCTCCTCCTCGGCGCTGTGGAACGATGCGACGAAAGAACTTCAATTCTACCTGGCAAAAGGCGAGATCTCCGCTGACCAAACTTTGACCCTCCAGTTCGTCCTCGAAAACCCTCCGGTCGCTCAAGATGCCCCCAACGTCTCGGTGACGGTGATGCAATCGATTGTTCTCCAGACGCTGCTGCTCTCGGACTTTGTGCTCTCAGGCGCGGAGGGAGGCAGTGCCCTCGAGCTTCTTCAGCCCCTCTTCGTTCAGCCTGCATACTTCGTCGCTCCTACCTCCATCCGTCACAGTTCCAACAACCCTGGCTCCGTCAACTACGTCACTATTCTGCTTGCTGTCAACGTAGACGTTCGCAACGCCAGCTTGTCCTACCCGGCTGTGACGCTCAACATCTCCGGGCTGACGGGAGGGCAGCCAGTCTATGCCGACAGCCAGGGCAAGACAGTCAGTCTCTTGGTCTCTCCTCTGTCTCCCTCCGGTCCAGATTATTTCTCAGCTCTTGCGACAGGCACCCTCTCAGCTGGGACGTGGAGCGAGGGGACTAACTCTCTGTTGCTTCATCTGCGCAAGGACTGGAGCAGACTGACACAGTTGGCCTTCTCATTCCAAGTCACCAACTTCCCCGACCAGCAGACGTCACCGACGGTGCTGCTTCAGACGGAGGGCCTGCGAGTTCAGATCATCTCATCCTTGACCTCCTGCTACAGCAACGGAGTCTGCATCTTGCCCAAGGTTGACGATAGTCAAGCTGGACCTCCGTTGAACGTGCTCAGCCCTTCCTTCGTGGTCAAGAATGTGGGACAGTCGACCCCTTACCCAGGCGCTGTCAACACGCTGACCTTCACGATCAGGTTCAACTTCATCTTTCTCAACTCATCCAGCACCATCACAGAGCAGTCCATGATTCAGATCTCCAACCTCCTCGGAGCTTATGCCACTCCCGTCGTCTCCCTGCAGTCACCGCAGGGCGATGAGCAGTACTTCTCCTCCTCTGCGCAAGGAGTCAGTGGGACTGCCTCGTGGGACCAAACATCGCAGTCGCTGCAGCTGTTTGTGAGGAACTCGATTCCCCAGAAGGACATCATAATCTCTGTGCGGGTTGAGAACTCAATCCTGCCTCAAGACTCTCCCGGTGTCGCCATCGCCTCCTTCGGCATCTCGCTGCCTTTGTCGCTGATGCGCAAGGACAACGTCACGGTTCTCCCTGCTATCTGGAAGGCTCGGCCAGGCGACGCTGAGCCCTTGCTGATCTTCACACCTGCCTTTGAGATCAAGAAAGTAGGACAGAGCAATCCATTTCCCGGTGCCACCAACACTATCTTCTTGACCTTGTCGTTCAACGTCGACATCCGAGCGTCGACTCAGTTCTACAGGTAGAAGTTTTTTCGTCTCAGTCTCTTCTCTGCCCTCTCTTGTGTTCCCTTCTATTCTCTTTCTCTCTTCTCTGTGTGCTCGCCTAACATCTCTTAAAGGCAGGTAAAGATTTTGATCGACAACCTCCAAGGCGGCCCGTCAGTGGAGTCGGAGTTCAACCTCACTGACTTCAAGACCGGGGGCCCGAGCTCAGTCTTCGGCCTCTTCGACGGCTCTGCCGATGTCAACAGCGCAAGGGCAAGCAGGGCCTTGTATGGTGGTCGTTACGGGTACAAGAACTTGACGTTCTCGGTGATTGCAGACGTGGTAGCCGGTAAGAACTACTACCTGGCCTTCAACATCTCCAACCCAGGCCTCGGCCAGAACTCGCCGGTGCTGCAGATTCAGGTAGACGGCATCACCATCGACGTGTCGAGCATGCAGTCAGACTTGGAGACTGTTCTCTCCAGCATCGGGGCGACGACAGGCGGTTGGGCGGCCCCCCTGTATGTCCTGCAAGCGCAGTTTGAGCTCAAGGCCATCTCCCAGTCCAACAGCGAACCAGCTCAGACCAACCAGCTCACCGTCAGGTTCTCCCTCAACTCCCCGCTGTTCCCCTCCGTCAGGCGATGCAAGCGACGAGCGTTCCGCGGGTGGTTGCCGGGGGAGGAGGGTTTCATCACCAGCCTCTACACGGGACTTCCCCAGGACGCCAAGATCTTCGGCGAGCTGAGCCTGCAGGACCTGACGCGAGGTCACCAGTTTGACCGCGTCTGCAACGTCGGGGCCTTGGAAGGTCAACCGTGTCAGGCCACAAGCCAGTGCGGCACGGGAACGACCAACGGCCCTGTGCCCTACTGCGTTTCCACCTTGTGCCACGAAGACGGTCTTTACCCTACCGAGATTCAGCTGAGCAACCTGCTGGGCCCCTTAGATCCCACAGGTATGCAGATGAGGGAGAGGACAGGAGAGGGGAAAGAAGGTTGAGGGAGGGAGGGAGGGAGGGAGGGAGGGAGGGAGGGAGGGAGGGAGGGAGGGAGGGAGGGGATGATGATTTTACGTCATCACAGGTTCTTTCAAGCTGCTACTTGACGGTGTTCAGATCTTTAGTGATGGTAGTCAGATCGGATTTGCACTGTGGGACTCAACTGCCAAGACGTTGACTATGCAAGTCGCACAGGAGCTGCAGGCAGCCGTCAACTACTCGTTTGCGTTTGACGTCAAGAATCCTTTCTCCCCTCAAGACTCTCCGCTCGTATCCATCGGAGCCTACGGGACTCTGATCGACCCGGTCGTGGTGGACCCGTCGGGTGTGGGTCCCATGAAGATCTCCCGGCTTATCTTTCAGTACGCGCTGGCTAAGCAGACGACCTCGTTCCCGATGAGTCTGAACCTTGTCACCGTCTGGTTCAAGACCGAGAAGCTCCTTCAGCTCTCAACCAAGATGTCTCTCTCCCCGATCCTCCATGCCTCCATGGAGAGCATGCCTGACTTCGTCGCCGGCCTCAACTTCGTCAAGCTACAAGGACCCTCCGCCTTGTCGCTCTCTCCCGTCCCCTGCAACACTTCCACAGCCCTAGCGTACGCTGGTTATGCCAGTTGGAAGGCAGAGACCTACCAAGTGGCAGCGTATCTTTGCACGGAGCCTTCCAACGTGTTCAACTTCTCTTTCGCCTTCATGAATCCTGCCATCCGACAGGTTGCCGACGCTCTCAGTCTCGCTCGCGCTCACTCTTCCTGCAGGACTCTCCTCAAGTCGCGCTGCAGATCGACGTCGAGAACAGCATCTTGAACAGCATTATCCTGACCTCCTTTGACCCGGCCAACCCCATCCTGCGAGTCCTCGGTAACTTATCGTCTCTCTTGTTCTACCCTCTCTGACTCTCGTCCTCCCCTGCCTCTAGGCTTCGAGTTCGTGCTCAAGAAGATCAGTCAGTCTGTTCCCTACCCCGGAGCTCTCAACGACATCACCATCCGTCTGGCCGGCAGTGTTCCCATCCCTCAGCAAGCCAGCAATCAAATCTCAATCTCCGGCCTCTACGGCGCGCAGAGCCCGCAGACAAGCTCCGTGATGCCTCTCATCGAGAACGTCGACCTTGCCTGCGCTGACTTTGACCCCAGCGAGAGAGGCTGCTCTGTGTTCTCCTACGACGGGGCTCAGACCTGCTCAGCAACATGGGACGCGGCGACGTACGGCATCAAGTTCTTCGTGCAGGAGATGCAGGAGGGGAGGACGTACACTTTCCAGTTCGTGATCCAGAACCCAGCGCAGTCCACGTCATCGCCCTCCGTCTCGATCTCGATGTCTGGCAAGATACCTATCTTCTCGAGCGTCTCGCTGGACCAGGACGTCACTCTCAACTTGGGGTCAGTGAAAGAAACTTGTTCTACCTGCCCCTCCTGGAGGAGAAGCTGGAGGAGGTGGAGCTTCGAGAAGCCTGGCGGGACCATGGGCTTGATCTCCGCCACCCCGGACTTCGCAGCGATCTTGAAGCTAGTCAACCCATCCTTCCTCTGCCTCGAAGCTGCCAACTGCATCCTTGGAGCCTTCACGGTCTGTCCGGTCGGAGGGGCTTGCAGTGGGCTTATCTGGGAGAGCAACGGGTTTCCGGGAGAGGTGGTCAATACGATCTCAGTGTCGTTTGCCGTGACGACTCCGATCTCTGTCTCCTCTCAAGCTTACCTCGTCGTCTCCGGTTTGCGCGGGGCTATCAAGCCCACGGGGGTGTACAACCTCAGCACTGCCCCCAGCTTCCGCTTCCTTGACGGCACTCCATGTGACTTCACTGCCGCCAAGTTTGCGGGCACGCGGCTGGGAGCTGACAGGACCTTTGCGTGGGACGCGTCGACACTCTCAGCGACCCTCTACCCCCTGACAGACTTGAGCCCGGGTAGCTTTCTCCTTCCTCGCCTCCTCCCCACCTCACCCCTCCTCTTTTTGCTCCTGCCCCCCCTCCGCCTTTGCAGCTGCTCCTCTGACCCCCTTGCAGGCATTGAAGTCACCATCTCCTTCCTGGTCTCGAACCCTCTCACCCCTCAGCCGGCAGCTGAAACCACTCTCAGCATCTTCTCCGCCTCAGGCACCGTCCTCGTTTCCAATACCCTCCTCCCAGCCCCGAACCGGCTCGGCCCCATGCTGATCCTGCAGCCCAGCTTCGAGGTCAAGCTCATCTCGCAGAGGACAGCGCTGCCCTCAGCTGAGAACGTGCTGACCGTCACCTTCTCCGTCAGCGCTCCTCTACGCAAGGGCACATGTATCTCCATCTACGGCTTCGGACTTGCTGCCGGCACGGAAACCTACAAGAATGTCGACGGGTCAAACTCCTTCGGCTCGCTGGTGAAGTCGGCGGATGCGGGGGTGACAGGACAGGGAGCATGGGACGGGAACAGCATCGCCTTCTGCCTTCTCACTGACCTCGTTGAGAAGACTGCCTATGACTTCTCCTTCTCCATCGTCAACCCGGCGCTAGAACAGAGTCCTCGCACCATCTTCATCCAGACAACTTCAGTAGTTCTGATCCCAGCTGTTGCCATGGACCCAGACAAGTCGGAGAACGGCATCCACGAGCCCTTGCGCATCCTCAAGATGGAGCTGCTGCAGAGAAACATCGGGGAGAGCACGAGGTCAGTCAGAGTCTCTCGTCTAATCTGATGACGTCATCGCAGGTTTCCGGGAGCAAGAAACCACATCACCGTCACGTTCGCTCCCTCCCTCGTGGTCTCAGCTGACCTTCAGGTGGACTTCTTGATCGAGGGCCTGACTGGCTCCCGCACGTCCAGCGGGCCCATCGCGATCAGTTGCGGCACAGGATGCAACCCGTTCTCCGACTGCTCGCGCACAATCTGCAACGGAGGCTGTTGCACCCGAGCAAGCGACCTCGAGCCCTGCTCTCTCGGCACGAGATTCTGCCAGGACCGTTTGCTGAGCTGTGATTTCACGAACGTAAGACTGATATGGCAGCCTCCGTTGTCGCGTCTGAACCCCCGCAGGTCCTCGCCAACTCGGACTGCTGCGACGTCTCGCGGTTCTCCAACACCTTGTGGGACCAGCAGCTGGGAACTGTCAGTTTCGCCCTGGCAGCTCAGCTCAAGGACATGGTCAACTTCACCTTCTCCTTCATCCTGGACAACCCCTACCTCCCCCAGGAGGCTCGGACCGTCTACATCTCCGCCAGGTCTCGAGGCGTCCAGTTCGTCTCTCGCAGTCTCTTCAGGAACGACCCGGACTGGCCGCCGCTCAAAGTTGACAACGCCAGGTTTGAGATCGCAGCTGCCAAGCAGTCGGACGCGTACCCGTGCTCGGACAACACGATCACAGTGAGAGGAGGAGGTAGGGGTGGGGCTCCTGAGACTAACTCGTCCCTCAGGTCACTCTCTCCTTGAACGCTCCCATCCGCTTTGGAACTCAGATCGTCATGCAAGGCTTCAGCAACGCCATTGTCTCGACCTCGAGCCTTCGGCTGCTGGACAGCGACAGCTCCTTGTATGTCGTCAAGCTACCCAACGGCCAACAAGCGAGAGTCACAGAAATCTTGCTGATCGAATATCAGCCTGTGAACTCAACGTTCATCCTCAAGGTCCGGGACATCGGCTACGGCAACGACGTCCTGATCCCTCCCGGCCGACCCTTCGAGCTTTCCTTCCTCGTCACCAACCCTTCCAGAGGTCAAAGTGCGCCTCCTCTGCTTATCAGAGCCTTGAGCGTGCAAGTTGACTTGTCGGTCCCTTCGGTTGACTTTGACTGGACGCCGTTGACGGGCTGCTCAAGTTTGACGTCTGTCTTGACTCCAGTCGCTGGATCTGCCCAACCGCTCTTCATCATCACCCCCAAGTTCAACACCCTAGAGATGCGGCAGAGCACCTCACGGCCGAGGTCCCTCAACGTGCTGACCGTCACTTTCGAGGTCAACGTGCCGCTGGTCGTCAGGTGCAACGTCCTCCTCGTCCTCCAGGGCCTCGATACTGTCGACCCTCAGCTGCAGCCGCTGGCTCAACCTGGTCCAGCCAGCTCCGACTGGAGGAGCGACATGTGTCCGTCATGGCAGCGCAGCATCTTCCGGCTCGAGAGCCCAACGGCAGCGAGCGAGGAGGTGGTCAAGGACGTGACGTTCTTCTCCGCCTACTCGCCTCTTGACACCAGCATGGCGCTGGCTAGGAGCGGAACGGTGAAGGTGGAGACATCGGACGTCTGCCTTGGTGGGCTTGTCATGGAAACTTGTCAGAGCTCTTCGGCGACGAGCAAGATGTGTCTGTACCGCAAGGGCTTGGAGGACGTCAACTCTTCTCTCCTCTGGCAGAAGGAGGAGGCCACCATGTCCTGGTTTCGAGGGCAGAAGCAGCCAAACCCCTTCTATCCGTGAGTTAACAATAGCTGAGCGTTGCGTTACCTGTACGAGCTTAACGTTACATCTCCTATGTGTGGGATTAGCCTAGCCCTAACTGAGCTTAGCTGTCTAAGTTAACTATGCCATGAGCATGCTGTCTACGGGCACATCTAAGTCTTGACATCAGCTAATGCTGATGCTTCTCTGACGCTAACGTTACTTGAGTTCGTATGCTGCCGCTGCTGTTGCTCTACGTGGATCGGCTTCACTTGTCTCTCTGACTCTATTTTCCTTGTCTGCAGTCGGAGAAACGAGCTGCCTGCGCTGGGCGACGGAGTCTGTCATGCCTTGTGGAACTGCGCGGACTACGCGTACGATGACGGAAACTGCGTTAGCGAGGCCATGAGCAACGGCATGTCAACAAGCGAACTGAAGTTGGGAACGGCTCGATGGGATGATGCCAAAAAGAAGATCGTCATTTACATCAGAAAAGACACAAAGCCGTCAACAAAGTATGCCTTCAGGTCAGAATCTTGTGTGATGATACTGGTACTGACGTGTCAAAAAGTTTTCAAGTTACCAACACGTTCAAGCTGAGCTACTCCCTCAACATTAACATGTCTACAGAAGGAATAGTCATTCCTCCCTTACCTGTGACAAGGTCTCATCTTACACTTCTCCCTCCTCCCTCCTCCTCCCCCCCCCACGCCTTCTCATCATTCTTCTCCTCCTCCTCTGTCCTGCTTCCTCTCCTCTCCTCTCGCTCTGACAGATCCTCTAGACCCCTCTCCGGCCTCGGCGCATGCTCTACGGGCGGCATTCAGCCGGGAGCTAAGAGCCTGCCGGACCTTGACGTCAACCCGCTCAACGTCTACTCGGCCTCCCTCTACGAGAAGCGTATCGCCTCCTCCACCAACTTTCCCGGAGCTGTCAACAGCATCTCCCTGACCCTGAGCTTCAACTCCCTCATCACTCCTCGCATGCAGCACACCATCACCGTCTACGGCCTACGGAGCTTCTCGGGCCCGTCAGGGGACGTCAAGCTCTTGCCCGACGTCAACTGCGCCGCCTCAGCGTCTTGCGATCATCCCATGCGGTTCTCGTCGGCCTCGACCCACCAGGCGGGCTATGGGCGGTGGGACAACAGCAAGAAGAGCCTGACGCTGCTTGTGTCCGGTACCCTCCTCCCCATCCAGCTCTATCGCTTCGCCTTCCAGCTGAGAAACCTGCTGGCGAAGCCGGAGACGACGGTCATGATCGTTGGCAACGACGCGCAATGCCCGACGCGGTCGCGACCCTTTTCGACCTTCAGCTTTTTCCGCTTCTACACTGAGAGCTCGGACAGCACAATGGACGCAGAGGCCAAGATCGCAAGCAACTCGCCTTTCTTCAGCTCCATCGCTCAGTCCTTGTACTACACCATCACCTCACTCGCCGACGCCGTCTCTCTCTATGGTTGTCAAGTCTCCAACCCCCTCACCGGCGAGCTGCTTCTCCCAGCTGGCCGCTGGTACTTGAGTTTTGACAACCCCGCATACTTCAGCGAGCAGGTCGAGCTGCGATCCGCCCTGAACGTCTCGGCAGACGGGCTTGTGCGGCAGAGCATCGAGGAAGGAACGGCGTGTGGAGGATACAAGGAGAGGAATTTGTACCAGACCTGTCGCTGGTGGTCGAGACCGACTTTCGCTCTTGACCTCTTCCTCTTCAAGAAGCTTCCTCAGGTCATTCGGTTCGTCCTCAGGTGGGGAGACGTTCCTGCCAACCTCGACCTCTTCCTCGTCTACAAGCCGCTTGTAGGTCAGACGCTCTCCTACTCCTCCAACAACGTCTCGTGCTCGTCTGGCCTTGTCATCTCGGGCGGAGGAGTCTTCCGAGATTGCCGCGAGATGTACGTGAATGCCCAGGGCGACTCGTCAAAGGTCAACCAAGTGCTGCTGGAGAGGATGGACGTCGACGGGAACGGGCCTGAGGTGAGGGAGGAAGAGGAGGAAGAGGAGGAAGAGGAGGAAGAGTAGGAAGAGGAGGAATCAAGAGGCAGCAGAGGCAGGAGAGGGAGACTCTGACTCTGAGATCGCAGGTCTTGCGACTGTCAAACGCGCTCGACGGTGACTATCAGGTTTACGTCAACGTCCGCCAGCCAACTCTTGACTCGCAGCTCACGTTCGTGGGAGCGGAGGAACTTACGGTCTACCTTGACAACGGTCAAGTCTACCGCATGTACACCTCCCCCAACGCTCTCATCGCGTCCTGGTGGTACGTGGGCTACGTGCGGAAGAGAGGAGGAGCGTCGTCCTGGAACCTAGTCAACTTCGATCAGATCAAAGAAGACCCCATTCCTTACATCGCAGGATACAAACTCGAGCTGCTGCTCACTGTACGCGATGCAGCGACGGGGCAGCGGGTGGAGGGCGTGACGTACGACATCACCGGTTGCAAGGGACCTTGTGACTCTGCTCCTCCTGCCTCTCGCGTCCTCGTCTCCAAGGGAATCGTTGCTGGCGCCAGGTAGACCCTGATCATGAATGCTGCTCTTCCTGCTCCTGCTCCTGCTCCTGCTCCAGCTCCAGCTCCTACTGCTGCTGCTGCTGCTGCTGCTGCTGCTGCTGCTGCTGCTGCTGCTGCTGCTGCTGCTGCTGCCTGCACTGATTGTCTTCTCAGAATCTCCTTCTCCAACTTGCTGTTCGGAGTGCAAGGATCGAACTATCAAGAGTACCTTGTGAGCCTGAACAAAGAAAACTACATCAGCAAGTTGGTGACGGTCAAGTACTCGGGTGAGGTCTACAGCCAAACTGTGTCCACCTTCGTTACACCTGCCGACAACAACATCTGGATCATCCTCTCTTGGAACCAGCAAGTCTTCGCCAACCTCGACCTCTGGGTCTTCCCTTGTGCTGACGCAGGAGCGTACGAGCCCTTCAACGCAGCCTGCGAGACTCCGCTGTCTGTCCGGCAGACGTGCAAGTTTGCGACGCTCAAGGGGACGACAGGAAAGGTTCGATACTTCTCGGCAGCCAACGACGTGGAGGCGGTGATCTTGGATGGGATTGCTCAAGGACATATCGACGTGTGGGCTCGATCGCTGGACAACCAGAACTTGCGGGGTCAGGACATCAACTTTGAGATCGAAGACCACCTGCACCCGTCCTCCTCTTCCATCCTCCTCCGCCCCACCGCCGCCTCCGACGGCTCCTGGTGGCACGTCGGCTACTTCGACTCCTCCCTCAACTTCGTCGTGCTCAACAAGATGGCCTCCTCTCCCGCCTTCTCCGGTTGCCGCATCCCCGTGGAGTCTGTATCCTCTCCCATCACCTTCGTTCCCTCCTCTTCCTCCCGGCGCGCCATGAATCAGCCGCTACTTCTCAACCTCTCCTCCGGCATCTCCCTTGAGATCCCTCAAGGCGCATGGCCAGCAGGGGGGCCAGGAACGGTCGAGCTCACGCAGCTGCTCCTTCCTCCTATCGTCCCCAACCCAGCCCTCATGCAGTTGGGCAACAACCTGGTCGTCTACCTCGAGCCGTCAGGCATCCTCTTGAACGCTCCTGGAGTCCAGCTGACGATGCCGGTCCGATCGCCTCCAGCAGCCGGCCAGCTCGTCAAGGTCCATCGGCTGGAGAACGGAATCTGGCGCTGGAGCTCGGCAGTGAACTCGACCTTCATGGTAGCGAAGGAGGAGACGAGCGTGACTCTGCTTTCCTTCTCGGCCTACGCTAACCTCATCGTGCTGGGGGGGGCCGAGGTCGCTACCCCGCAAACTTCTCCCCCTCCATCAGTCCTGGGCAGCACGATCAACGTCAAGAGCTCCACGTTCCCTGTCTGGCTCATCGTCGTCATCGCAGTCGGAGGGTTCGCGATCATGGTCTTGTCCTACATCTTCACCTACCGGCTGCTGGCCAAGAGGTGGAGGCAAGTCGGGGGCCCGTCAGCTGCTGACGCCTGTCATCAGGTTCCCCTGGCAGAAGGGCGAAGAATTCTTCGAGCTGTTCGCTCCGGTCATAGTCAGCCCGGACATTGATAAGCAAAGGTCGTGGACGAGGAGAAGGAAGAGGAAGAGGAAGAGGAAGGGGAGGGAGGAGAGGAGGGAGGAGAGGAGGGAGGAGAGGAGGGAGGAGAGGAGGGAGGAGAGGAGGGAGGAGAGGAGGGAGGAGAGAACAGAGATGGAGGACGTAAGAGGTGAGAG